AGCGGTGGCTTTGTATATAAGGAATATCCATTACATCTTTAGAGAGATGTTAACAGTTCACTGATGAACCTTTTGGAACCTTTTGCTCATATGTAAGACTTGTACAGTGCAGCAGAGTTCAATTCAATAGGAAAGCATTAAAAAGCGGTAGAAAAAACAACAACACATGGCTTCAATTGTCTCCTCTGCGCTGCTCCATCAAATCAGTAAAATCTTAATTAGGACATTAGGCTTCTTGATTCCACTCTGTTTTTCCATCATGTCAGCTCGCAGTCAGGAAAGAACAACACACACTTATCAAACTGGCCTAGCATTAGAGTTTTAACATGTAAAGTATGTTTGTATCTTCAAGTCTTCACGTCTTGGCGTAGGTGGATTCCTTGAAGTTAAAATAATGGGGTCTATGTTTATCGAAACTTGGTCGACTGCTGTTCTCTTGGGCTTTGAACCAAAAGGTGATCTATCATCTAGTTGAGAGCTTAAGTAAAGAAATGGACTGAATTACAGCAAAGTCTCAGACAAGGCGGCAGCTAGATGTCACATTTGTAATATTAAGTAAGATATGGGGCCGAATATGTCTTATTACCCTTCAAGATATGTTTTCATAGTTTTTTCAGGATACACTTTGAACAAGTACCAAATAAAAACTAAACTGAAATGTCTTTGCTAAGAGACAGAATAATAACCACTCTGCTACCTTACATTATATAATTTCTTAAAGGTGCACCATGTAACTTTTCTGGTCAAAGGTCATCCTCCTGCTTGTCCCCATGGAGATGTTATTGCTTTACATGTAACCTCAACTTTTGCAGCATCAAAGGCTTGTCTTCATGGAGATAGATAAATTTAATGCTATATTGTGGAACATTCCAGGCAACACACTGACATTTCCATGGAGAATCAGTAAAGTTGGATACTGAACCTTTAATTATTTCATTAAGAAGTTGATCTAATAGTCAAGAGAAACATGATGTTGGGTAATCAATTTAAAATTTCAACTATATATTTGACCTTTTAACATAATAAAAGTCCAAGTCAAAACTCAAAAAGCAAAACTCCATACACGCAGAATTCGATGTTCACTATGTTACACAGTTAGTGGAACAGGCTAATGCTAGTGGTCATGGGCATTGATCCAGTACATACCTGGAAAAGCTTACTTACATGAGCGGAGCCAAAACACTCCTTCCATAGACTGTTATTTGAGTAGTCCAGCGCTGCTCTGGCTGCTTTACATCTATCAAAACATCTGCAGTGTTACAGTATGAGCCACGATTGACCTCTGGCTTCCATTACTAACATTGTAAAACGCAGACAAAAACACGCTGGGTGGTACATTGATCCTTGTATTATGGGCTAAGCCATTTTAGACATTTAAATTGCCGTAAGTGCAGTGCTTATTACTGTAACGTTTTTCATGCTGTAAGACTGGAATGCCTGTGCAGATGATGGACAGATTCCTGAAGTGAAAATGAGACGATCTTATTTACATTCTGCTCTGACGGTTCAATGTCAGTCAGCCTGCGAATTCTGCTGCGTTGGCAAAACAGCTAGACTCATAGTGTGTGCCAGTTTCTACACTTTTCAATAACACTAGACCCTGTTCAGATGTGGGTCTTCCAAACATGTACTTGAGTAAAAATACAGTTACCTCAAATATCATTGCTTATGTTGAAAAGTCAGTAAGTAGACAATGACAAGTATTACTTGAGCTAAAATACACAAGATTGCTACATAATTTGCCGCTATGAAGAGCAGAGCAGTAGTACATAACAGAAAGTCAATGGGACAATTTCTATTTTTAGTTGTTTCAGATCATTATTGCTGTCTATTACCACAAAGAAAATACTGTGTTTTCTTCAAATTTTCAATGTAGTTGTGCAAATCTTGTCCCAATAAAGATATTGTAAAATGCAGCTCTTAGGGTCAAAATCATAAGACTGTATAATGGACATAGCTGAGCTGCCAGCGAGCTCCTTCAATTCTGTGTCCACTTGACTTTACATTGAAAAATTGTCACACCTCTCTCTGTAACTGCCAGAGGTGGGACCAAGTCATTTTGCAAGTCCCAAAGAAGTCTCAAGTCTTTGACCTCAAGTCCCAAGTCAAATATAGCCAAGTCCATGTCAAGTCTCGAGTTACTGGCCCATAAGTCCAAGTCAAGTCCAAGTCATTTCAAGTCTTTAAACCAAAGTACCAAATATAGCTTAGATTTTTGCAATTTATGACTTTTAAGATTAATTGTATTTATAAAGTCATAGTATATTTACATGTGAGTATTTAAGAGTTGTAGAAATGCATTTTTTTTGTTTTTAAATTTCTTGACAAGATCTTAAAGTAAATCATTTCAGTCAAAATAGAAAGAATTCAGATTTAAAAGTTCTTCTCAAGTCTTCTCAAATCACAGGCCTCAAGTCCAAGTCAAGTCCCACGTCTTAGTCCATTTTATCATGTCAAGTCTCAAGTCCTAAAAATAGTGACTCAAGTCTGACTCGAGTCCAAGTCACGACTTGCAAATCCTCATCTCTGTTAACTGCTACAGTGAGCCTCATCTTTTTGGTCTTAAAATGTTGATATTAACCCGCTTCACATGATCCTAGTTTCTTTATTTCGCCACCTTGTCCAGTAATAAATCCCATTTCCTAATATGGAGCAAGGACTAGTGTTATTGAAAAGTGTAGAAACTTCCAAATTTGCCCCTGAAAGCTGTAGAGGACATCACACTTCCTTTGTCCACTTCTTTAAACAGTATACGGTCAAAATAAAACTGCCAAGTGTTTAATTGTACAAGAACCACAAAGTAATGTTGGTGGGCTGGACCTAATTCCACTCTGGCCTCTGAAAGTTATGATACGCACTTATAAACTCAGCACCTTGAATAATTAGGATGCTCATAATGTGTGAGCAATAAAGTTCAGTTTTTCATGTTTTTAAGACTGTAAAAATCAGATACAGAATCAGCACCTTAAAAGACTTACACAAAAAGAGTGGTCGCTTCTCTCTGCTACCTTTTAATCCTCAGCAATACTGTACAAAGTGTTCATTGGCCCGACCATCAAACCGCTGGATATTCCACACCTGCTCCACATTAGAGGCAGCGTGGTCAGTGCTGGCTGTGAAAACACCAGCTCTTTGTTAAGGCTGAGTGCGGAACGTTAGAGTTAGTGTGCTGTGGGTCGGGCTTTGGTCTGTTCACTCCATGTATCACACAGAAGCTGATAGACACACAACAGCCCTTTGTACCCCCTCTGACACCACCGTGCGCACTCCAGGCATTTCCTGTGCTCCGGCTGCTCCAACTACATTTAAGTGGAGGCATTTTAATTGGAAACACCTCCAGTCATATAAGGAAGCATGGTGGTGTAGCGCAGAGAGAGGAAGCTATACACGGTCCCAAAGATATTGATGAACCAAACAGGGCTGTTCTCAAATCATCATGTTATTCTGCTAAACCACATCAATGACCGACTTTTAGTGAGGTGTTTAAAAGTTACTAATGAGGCGTAAATGTAATAAGGATTTTTAAAAAGTTGATTTAGAACATTCTTAAAGGTGTCAATGTGTCTGTCTCCATGGAGATGGAGAGTGTTATTTGCCTGGAATGTTCCACAGTAGGAATAACCTACCTCTCTTTAAAAAAACAAAAAACAAAAAAACACACATAATCGAATTGAATATATGCAAGAGAGATGAAGATAGGTCATTTTAATGCCATTCTAATAATTCTAATACATCCTAAATAAAGCAATAAGATCTCCATGGAGACAAGAAAGTGTCGTACCCCCTACCAAGAAAGTTACAAAGTGCATCTTTAACCCCTTAACACCTGAATTTATATAGATGTATATAAAAAATGTTTTGTTTGTGTTTTTGCCTTTAAGTAGATGGTAAATTAAGCAGAGATCATTAATTTGACAACAGCAAAAAAAATAAAATAAAATAAAATAAAAATTGGGTATGTTGCAAATTTGTGACAACTAGAAACAAGTGCTTGCCAGAGGTTCCTGGAAGGTCCTGCATATGCACGAACCAGCATTGAGAGAATGCAGCTGCTATCTTGGCTTATATCTTGATCCAAAAGATTTGTGACAGTTGGCATCAAGGGGTTAAAGTTTATTTTATTTTTTTAGCAATATACGAAAATGTTATTACATGCATACATATTTACTATTGCATAATTCAGCTTGATTAGTCTATATAGCATAATATAGCCTAAAAAAATGCATAGTGTTATAATCTGACTAGAGAAACTGCTTTTTGTGTGCATCATAAATCTGAGATGACAGACCAACTAAGACATTTCAGTTGATGTTGTGTTTTATGTTGATGTGTTCATCTATTAGGGTCATTAACAAGTCTTTTTGTTGCTACGGAGACCGAGCTGCAGGAATCCCATTAGGATTTGACTTTTTAATAACTTCTGCCAACTCACAACACATCAAAGTCACAAGCTCTTCAAATTCTCATAGTCACTGATCCATATTCTATTTGGCTCATAGGCTTTTGTGCCTCAAAAGTTTTTTATTCCTCTTTGTTTATTTTTTAGTTGGCAAACCAAATTCCCCATGTAATATTATTTTCCAAAGAATATTTGTAGTTAATTTAGTTTTGCTCTACAATGATTATTAGTTTTGGTCAAGATTTAGTCAAAGAATTAATTCATAACTTTATTTTAAAGCCACACCATGTCAATTTTTTTTATTTTTTTTAATCAAACATAGACTAAAATAAAAGCAAGTTTTTAAATTATTTTGGATGTTTTTATTACACTTAAAAACATGTGTCTAAAACTGACCAAAGGCAACAAAAATCTATGTAACTACACAATCTATGTTATATCTGTTATTGTTGGCTTTAGTCATAATTTTTTTTTATTATTTTATTTTATTTTTTTTATTTAGTCATCAAAAACAATGGCAAAAACATTTTACTTGAAAAAATAAACACTGTTGTAGATATTTTTTATTTTTTATTCTAAACTGTATTCACTCTGTTTGCAGCTGTGGGAGGCCATACATTAAACTGAGTCATGGAGAAGGTTCATTGGACAAAGGAGACAGGATACCTCGACCAGGTATGTCCCCAGCTCCTGCCGGGACATATGACATGTACACTGGACATAAGTAGCTACAATATGGGGGAGTCTCAATTCTGAAGGCATCCAGACTGCTAAGTTTAAAAAATGCAACCATAAGGAGGGAAGTTTTTACCTGAAACACCTTTGAGAGAGAAACATAATTTAATAAGAAAATGTATTTGTGATGTGGCACATATTTTACATCCTGAATTTCACAATGACAGCCTCATTAGATCGATTACATGGGTAGGGTAGCTGAAAATTGTACATTAAATATCTTAAATGTAGCTCATATATATTACTCAAGTACAAATACAAATTAGCGGTGCAATAAAATACTCAAGTAAGAGTATAAAAGTATCTGGAGAAACTGCTACTCACATAGTAGTAAATGTCTGGATCCAACTTCTGATTTAATAATAATGATGATCTGATTTATAATTCAAAGCTACTGTGAATGGAAGGACATTACTTCAGTTTATTGACAAAATCTGGTAAAAAAAAAAAAAAAAAACATTTGAAAACTTGACATCCAAAGAAATATTATGTTGCTAGGCTTGCAGTGAGTGTTTACTGCTGTCTTTCTGTGCCCATGCAGGAGAGGACCCAGTGGTTGCGTCATCAGACTACGAGAGCATCCATGAGGCCAACCACAGTGACAGCAGTGATGTAGCACCCACAGAGGAGGACGCCGAGGAGGGCAAGAGCACCTCTCAAAACGTCATCCTGCACCCGCTAATACCTCCGGAGGTCAGCCTGTCTACCACTGTGTGTACGGTTAAACTGAAATATCTGAACTCTATTTCACTCGGTGCTTCTATATGTGTACAGGACAAACCCATTCTGGCCCCTGAACCCTTGCTGATGGAGGGTCTGGAGCCAATGATGAGCCAGCTAAATAATTGGAACTTTCCCATTTTTGATCTGATGGAGCAAACAAGTGGGAAATGTGGAAGGATTCTCAGTCAGGTATGAAAACACACCCAGAACAAAGAATGAGGTTCTGTTTTAAAGTAGCTGCAAATCGTCATAATTGTCATAATAATTTGAACTAGAGAAGCACACTGAATTGACATTGATATGGTGTATATATTATACAGTAGCAGTTTCTTCTTTATTTCCATGATTATTTCCATTGTAGATTCTCTCTGAATGCACCAAAACTATGAATGAGTACAAACTCCAAACTTGTTTTATATTTTAGATAGATTTAAAACAAAACAAACAAACAAAACACACACACACACACTGCTTTTGACAAGGCACAGTTGTGAAGTGAAAACCATTTCATGAGAATTCATCAAGAAAATTATTGAGAGAAGGCCAAGGGTTTGCAAAACTGTTAACAAAGCAAAGGGGTGGCTGCTTTGAGGATTTTGATAAGAGAAAAAATTAAATAGAATTATTTTACTTTTTTTCTTTGCTACATATTTCTATTTATCTTGCTTCATATATTTGATGACTTCTGAGTGTATATAAAATGTAGAACGTGGTAACCTTCAAAAAAATAAAAATAAAAAATCAATAACATAAGATTGTTGTGCTGTAGGTTTCGTACCGACTCTTTGAAGACACGGGCCTGTTCGAGACTTTCAAGATCCCTGTTAAAGAATTCATGAACTACTTCCACGCCCTTGAGAACGGGTACAGGGACATACCGTGTAAGCTCCTTCTATTGGTCTCTCACATTTGCAATACTCAGACTTAACACTAGAGGGCAGCAATTTCAAGTCAGGGAAAATGTTGATGCTTTAATCATGGTTTTAGTTCTCAAAAGGTTTTGGAATGGGTTCTACTTGTGTAGACCTGGTTTAGGCCTGGTTTATTAATCTTTCTTATATTCTATTATTCTGTTCTTCTTTTATTCAATTACAAGTTTATTGTTACCATAAGAGGGCTTGGGTCTCCACAGATCAGACATGTAACTTGGCCTTCTTGCATTATTTGCCTGTGTATAGAGATAAATAATTTTAATGCTGTTATTACCATGGCAAAAAGCAAACCTGTTTTATAATTTACCTTTAAATTTAGCTTTTGAGACTTTTCCTGATAGTTGTTATACCTATAGGCCTATCTGGATGATATTCCACATGTACCGTATATATATGTATTTTTTTTTTTCTCATATTCATGGGTTTCCTTTTGAGGACCTCTTATCATCCAAATGATATAATTTAAATTGCTATGGCAACAGTCCTAAATGTTCATCATTCTGCTTCCATGGATAGGTATGGTTAAATCAAAATATGTAACATTTGGGCTAACTTGTGGAAGAATCATGGATCTGAAGACTTAAACATAGAAGCCTGCACTGCCCCCCGGTGGTTATGAACGGAACTCTAACATACTGGTGTCTTTTTTTTTTTTTTTTTTTTTCAGACCATAATAGGGTGCACGCCACAGATGTGCTTCATGCAGTCTGGTACCTCACCACTCAGCCTGTGCCTGGTCTGCCCAGCCTCCTCAATGACCACGGATCAGCCAGTGACTCAGGTAATATACACAGTTGTCCACATGAGGGTGCTATTGTATACATAATCTGACCTTAATTTGCAGATAACTAAAATAACAGGGACTTTTATGAGTGTTTCAGTGTAAGTAGGCCAGAATTGTGTTATTGTAGCCTTCAAGTATAAGTTCTTATCCTACTCTGTGTCTTCTTATCTGGGCCTTGGCTTTGGTGGTAACATTCACCATTTGAAGTGTAGAAAAGCATGAAATTGCAGACAGATTAGACCTTCATATTTCCATAACCTCGTCTGTGTGCGTTACTCCCTTTGATCTACATATAAGGGGATTGATGTCTTTTGTGTTTAGACTTGGTTTGGGGAGAAAAAGTAGGGTGCCTGAGAAGAAATGTGTACTCAAGACTATTGATACTTCAAAATAATATTTCTCATGTAAAATGTAGTAACACACTGAAATATAGAGGCTGGAGTATAGAAGTAAAATTTTACCCCTTGTCTGGTAGGTATGTTGACATGTGTCTGTCTATGAGAAAGCAGCTGTCAGTGCTGCAATTCGAGATAAAACATTTCTTGTTTCTTGTCTCGTAAACCTTTGTTATGGAGAAATGTTGGAAAATAAAGACAAAAAATAATATTTGCATTATGTTATATGTATACTAGTAGAGTTATGTTAGTTTGCAGCATCGTGTGATAACCTGCATAAGGCAGTTTTGTCACTACAACAAAACACTTACATCTCACACCTTATCACATAATGGATGTTGCTTGACAGGGAAACAAGAGTGTAATGATCATTACTTTAAAGCAATATTTGTAGAAGTAAAATCTGTTGCTATAAACCCACTGTGTTTATTGAAAGGATCACTTGAGCTAAGAGTAACACAGCTCTTGACCCTGTACCCTCTGGACTTGTGCCCTTGGGCAGACTCTGACAGTGGGATAACGCACAGTCACATGGGCTTCCTGGTGTCTAAGACCTACACTGTGTCAGAGGACGGTTACGGCTGCCTGTCCGGCCTCATCCCCGCTCTGGAGCTCATGGCTCTGTATGTGGCAGCCGCCATGCACGACTACGACCACCCCGGGAGGACCAACGCTTTCCTGGTGGCCACCAGTGCTCCTCAGGTAGTTACACTGCAGCTGTTAACACCAGGCAACATGTTTGACCATCAAAGGGAGGGGGGAGCATTACTGGTAAGATAAGGACCTGTGTGTGATGTGTGCTCATGATCCACACACAGACTCTCCATAGTCAACTGTATACCCCACATGACATGCATGTGCATAGGAACCTAAGGACATCCAGATTAGGGCTGGGTGATATGGCCAAAAAATAAAAGCTATGCATATCTTTGCATATGCTGGATGATTGTCATGTATGTCAGAGCAGGGACTGCTTGTCTTTTGAAGGCACGATTTTATTTATCATATGCTTATTTAAGAAATTGAAAGCCACCTTCAATTAAACTTAGGAAGGAGGAACATGCTTGGCTAAACTAAATATTACTCAAGTATTATATATATATATATATATATATATATATATATATATATATATATATATATATATATATATATATATATATATATATATATATATATATAGTATCTGGTGACTAATGCTCAAGTGTGTCTTTTTAGGCAGTCCTCTATAATGACCGCTCAGTGCTGGAGAACCACCATGCCGCCTCAGCCTGGAACCTGTTCCTGTCACGGCCTGAGTTCAACTTCCTGGTCAATCTGGACCATGTGGAGTTCAAACGCTTTCGCTTCTTGGTTATTGAGGCCATCCTTGCCACTGACCTGAAGAAACACTTTGACTTCCTTGCTGAGTTCAATGCCAAGGTAAAGAGCTATGTGTGCATAAATGTTTTTTTTGTTTTGTTTTGTTTTTTGCTAAGTGGTAAGTAGAAATTTACATTCAAACCATTTAAAAAGGCTATACTTGCTTTCAGTGGTTCACTGGTTTTCAACTCTTGTTTGTCTAACAAGTAACTCTTGTTCTTTGCCTGGTGTAAGGCACACTGGGAAAAGTGCAACTAATTAAAATAGCAATATAATAATAATATACATTAATGAATAAATTCATTTCACATCACTGATTTTAAAAGAGGGAGAAATGTCATGAAATATGCAAGAGATTAGTGAAAGGTATAGACTGCGAAATACAGAGAACAAAGTATCTGCCAGGCTCAGCTATGCACAAAGTTCTCTACAGACATAGTTCTCCTGTGAGCAATAGAGCAGAAGAATGTTGACAGCCAAACTATACAAGAGAAGACTCTCAGTTCTCTAAACTGCTCCAGTTTCCTAGAAGCATTATCACATGTTCTGACTGCACTTCCAGGTAAAACGTCTTTTATCTACAGTGTATTTATCTGACCCCAAGCACATTAAGAGAAAGTGACTGTATTGAAATATGTATAATATTATTGTATGCTATAATGTCAGATTTGAGTGCTATCAATTAACTTGGTAAAGATTACAAAAGATAGCAATAACTAATAAAATAATGAATGCATTTATTTCTTAACAAGCCTGACAACTGGTAACTTTTGAGCAATAGCAGCTCCTCTGCTAGACAAACCCTACTAAGCCATCCTGTCTGGGGCCCAGAGTATATACTTCAATACTAAAGATGTTAATCTTTGGTATTGAATTAGGTGAATTAGATGAATTAGCCAATCAGGGATAAACAATGAATATGGCTGCTTTTTAGAAAACAAGACAGGAAATATAATTGCAACATATACACATATAAAATTTGATAAAAAACATCTTTCCAAACTATGTCTTGCCTAAGAGCACAATGACAGTATATGCACTAGAGCTACTGAGCCACTACTTGAGCCCCATTGTGCACTTGGTATTCTCAGTGGTCTCTCATCCATGTACTAACCAGGCCCAGGCCTGCGTAGCTTCTGAGATCTGATCCATGTACTTCATTATCTCCACAGTGATTTTGTGTCTTTCTGTCTCTCCTCAGGTGGGTGATGACCCCTCCACTGGGATTGACTGGTCCAATGAGAATGACCGTCTGCTCGTGTGTCAGATGTGCATCAAACTGGCCGACATCAACGGGCCTCTCAAGTGTAAAGACCTGCACCTGCAGTGGACCGAGGGCATTGTCAATGAGTTCTATGAGCAGGTGCTGTCCACAGACCACTCAATCCTCTGTGTCCAACTCAATCCTCTGTGTCCAACAGTGACAAAACAGTGACAGAAAAGGAAATGGGATCTATTTAATGCACTTACACATGCACTTGTATAAGGCAGGAATTGCAACAAGGAAGTGAAGAATAGAACTGCACTTTAAAAGCTCTTGAACTGCAGAAAACCAAAATGGATGCTAATGCACATGTCTCATTTCCTCCCATAAGTGACATTTTGTAAAAAGCACTCTGAATTCCTACCAGACCAGGCCAGTGTCTCTCCTGTATAACTCTGTGCAAAATTAACATCCAGGAGAACTTCAAAAAGAGCCCAAACTTCTCCTCACATCACCACAATGCAGTTTGATTATCTTGAAGAACATTTTCTGTAGATAAAGAGACAAATGTTGAACCTTGAACTAGCACTAACAGAGCATCTTATAAAAAATAAGGTACATTGCAAGGACTCTCATGAAAAATATTACCATGGATTTCCATATCTTCATCTCTGCACCCATGCACTCATCTCTACAAAAACCTACTTCAGCCATTGTATCACGTTCAACAGCTGAACATATACAAGATATGTGATTACTATTGAATCAGGGCAGCATCTGACCTCCTATATCCTTAGCTGTTTATAGTATTGTTGTTGTGACCCAGTTACACTTACACTGCTGCTAACCCCAGTAACCTCTGGCACAATTAGATCAAATGGCTGTAAAAGTGTGTCTAATCTTTGCTAATTACATGTGCAGTAGGCCTCCACACTGCCCCCTGCTGATCATAATGTAACATCCAACAAGAAAGTGTGAAAACAAAAGGAAAACAGGTAACAATGTGATGCAAGCAGGGAGCCTAGGCAACTGTCAGGTACATAAGAGGCTGCATATGATTACAGTGACAGCCAATGACCACAAGCCCAAGGACCTTGAGCTGGAAACAAGCTCGTAGACCTTCTCCTCTGAGCATGTGCAGATTGAAGAGATGATACATTGTTCAGAGCAACATTGTGAAAAATACAATGAAGATATACAATTGAAGGCCAAGTGGCTTTTGTGAAAGGTTCTTGTTTGCATCAGGGTATAGAGGTAGAATTGTATTAGCTTTTTATCTTGTCTAAAAGGAATATAAACACTGAAAAGCATTTGTATTAGTGCTTTCATCACGCAACTAGAAGATTGTGGGTTTGATTGATTTTTGAATAGGGTATTTCATAAAATGTATTCAAAAGTTAGTTAGAAAATGTTACAACGCATTATAATATAAATATATTATAACAAACTACATGTATTTTGATAATGAACAAACAACTACAATTTTTTAGACTGTTAAAGTACCCATAAAAAACAAAACATGCCTAGAGTTGTGTTTCGTTTGGTTCACAGATGTTTAACACACAAATCCTGCATATTTAGGCTGAATTCTCAAGCAGAAAACACTCTTTTCCACATTGTGATGTCAAATGTTAATTCAGGAAGTGCTCCACTGTGTATTTCAACTCCATATTCAGTGAAGGTTCACTAGAATTATTTGGATAATTTCAGAGCTGGAATTGACAATCTCTACTGTGCTAAAGGTAAAATGTAGCAGTTAACTTGAAAACTACCACTTCATGACATCACAAGATAGAAAAGAGCATTTTGAGCTTTGGAGATGTAGACAGACTAATAATAAAGGCTTAGTCAAACATGTGTGAATGAAGCAAAACCTAACTCCAGGTGTGTTTTTGATGAGGTATGGCTTAAACCTCACAAGAGTAAGTTTTGTGTAACATAGGACCTTTAACGTACAACATTTTCTACACATGTACTATATAAACCTAATAATTTGAAATAACCTATTGCATAGTCTCATTCCATATTCCAATTACATTGTAAATTAGGTAGAAGAAAATGTATATTTTTACATCTTTCCCTGGATGTATTCGGACAACTTTCCTTGGGCTTTAGATTGAATCTGAATTGTTGAAAGCTAATCTATTCTAAAGTGTATGGGATGACTCGGGGGTCAGTTTCCAAGGCAACCATTAAACCTCGTAACAGTCCCTATGTTGTTCATCCGCAGCATATGCCCTGTATACACAGGAGTGCTGTCTCTGAGATTTCCAATATTTTCCCTCTCAAATCTTATAATACACAAATATGATGGTCCCCCGTTGGGCTGCGTACAGTATGTGCCTCTGAAAAGTACAGTAAATGTTAACAGGACGAACCCCGTGACCCAGTCCAACTGATATTATTTATTTAGGCTCTGCGCCCTTTGATGAGAAACATATGATAGTAGCAGCTAATCAGGACCTGCTGTGTCCGTGTGACGCCGTAACCAATGGCAGGAGCACATTCAGGACCGTCCGTGTGATTAGTCTGGAGGGATTTAAAGTGATGCCGGCAACTTTATGCCCACTGCAGGTGTGAGGCCATTGATTAGCAGCAAAGTAGTCATGAGGAAGAAGAAAGTGTGTATAACCCAGTAGACATGTGCTTTTCTAATGCGCTGGGCTTTGATGCACCTGTTACTGAGTCCTAATGAGTACACTTCACTGAGATCAGCAAAACTCACCTTTATTCAGGCAAAGTACACCAATAAAAATATGATATATAAAAAAATAATAATAAAGTTGAACTCCTGTGCCTGGCCGTCTTATGTACTTTGACCCCAAAGTTAATAATATCTGTATTCATTTTGAATTGTGTATGTGCGTGTTTTACCTTTAAATTGACCCATTGCCAGAGTCTTCACATATCAGCATGGTTTCTGCCAGGTTATATGTGACGTAGATCGTTTTATTTAGTTCTTACTTGTACAGATCATTGTACCATAAGGACCACCATTTGAAATAAAATAAAGTAAAATATTTAGTTAAAGAGGAGGTATTACGCAAAGTCAATTAGAGCTCTCAACCATGGCATAAAATCCCTTCATCAAAAACATGCCTGAAGTGCTTTTATATGTCATCTATGCATGATGTAATCTTGTGATCTCTCCCGGGACTATCGAACCCTCTTTACAGTTAGCTGTATGAGCTTCTTACACAAGACTCACAAGCCCTGTGCTCCAGCACTGCCATTTTTCATACATATACTAGACCAGGAAAACAAGTAAATACTACAACTCCACAAATCTGAGGCCATGTGCAGTAATTTTCTTAGCGGAATGCAACCTGATTGTATTGGTAATCTGAAGGGGGAGTGACATAGCACAGGGAGCAAGGGGAGGTGGACTCAGAGTATCAAAAACTGAAATGAATTTAACATTTGAATACGTAATAATAATACAAGGTAACATGGCAACCTAAATATATAATACGTTAATAATTAATACCCCACAGAAGTATAATGCACTCTTTTTAATGAACAAAATGGATTAACCTCTTTCACAAACATGATGTGTATTAAAACCTTGTGTGTTGCATCTCAGGGTGACGAGGAATCTAGCCTGGGCCTTCCCATCAGCCCCTTCATGGACAGAGCCAAACCACAGCTGGCCAAACTGCAGGAGTCCTTCATCACTCACATCGTAGGGCCTCTGTGCCACTCGTACGACTCTGCCAGCCTCATGCCCGGGCGGTGGGTGGAGCCCTGCTCTGAGGAGGATGAGCCAGAGAACGAAGACGAGGAAGAGGAGGACACAGCAGAGGAAGACACATCTACCAGCTCTGAGATATCACGTAAGAGACTACACCAATTATATTGCCAATATTTGACACATATATATGTACACCCAAAACATGTGCAATATAAACACAATAGACCAAAAAAGCTCAAGATCCGAGATAGGAGCTGCAGTCTCCCACTGCTCCTGACAGGATGCCCCAGAAGGATGAATCAAGTATACCTTGCCTTAACTTAGTGTGCACTTGCAGATATGTGTACAAGTGGATCAAACTGATCGCTGTACAATCTTGTATTTTGTATAGTTAATAACTACACACAACTTGAAAAACATTTTGTTTAGTGAAGTTAATTTTCCTACATTACTTTCTAACACCTCACTTTGTGTCACATTTTAACTATTAATGAATACTTTTATGTCTGTCTCTTACAGAGAAAGCTGTCCCTAAAAAGCGAAGGAAAGTGTTTTGTCAGATCACACAGCACCTGCTGGAGAACCATGAGATGTGGAAGAAGGTGATCGCAGAAGAGACGCCTAAACAAAGCCAGGGCACTGAGTCTGTGCTCCTAAACAATGTAGCAGAACCCATCCTGGCCATTCATGAAGAGGACGAGGAACCGGGCAGCAGGGAGGAGCTGGTGGAGGGGGAGGAGCCAGAGGTGACTGAGGATGAACCTGACTGGTCGAGACAAGAGGAGGTAGAAGAATGAGACAGAGAATCATGGGAGACGGAGTATTTTTCATAAAGGGACTCCTGTTGTTGCCAGCACATCACTTAGACACAACACTGTAGATGTTTGGGATAAGTGTGCCTATTTCACAATAACAGGGTGGTACATTTTGATATGACAAATTTTATTATATTCCATTTCTGGCAACACCAAACCCTAAAGGAACTTTCCAGATCGCAATACACTCATTTGGGATAAAGACTTATTTTGCTACTGTCAAAGGACCTCAATCCAATATGGAGACACATACAGGACTGCAGAGTTTTGCTGCCAATTTATACCTAATTATTTTCTGAATGCAACTATATTATGAACACGCTACACTTTTACTTGTGTTTCAAGTTCACCGGGTTTTGTGGTCTCACGTGCACCACGCTATACTTATTTTATATATATGGATGATAAGGGAGCAACTAGGGAGCATTAGTCATTCTATTTTATTTAAGCTAGAAATGTCATTCCTTCCATTTTCATTTCCTATGCTTTTCCTAAAGATGATGTGGTTGTTTATCTTGGTTCATTCCATTGCACATTTACATTACAGAGGATGTTTGACAGATCAGTGGGTAGCAGTCGTCTTCTTTTTTTTAAATTTATTTTCAATGTCAATCCTAAATTACTTATACAGACCAAATTATGCATTGAAACTAAGCTGCAGACAGAGCTAGTAGGTTGTGGTCCTTCAGAAATACTAATATTAACTTCCTTTTCTTCGAAGTTTCAGACATGCACCTAAATATTGACTTTAAAAATTCTCAGGAATCCATTAAACTAGACCTGCATTGTTCTAATTATAGTCAACATGTTATGACAAAGACAGCTATGGTAAAAACAAAAAAAAATTAAAAACAGACTTAACCTTTGTTTATTGGTTTTTATAGCATTGTTGTAGATATAACTTGAGTCATCTGGCAGGTACACCTCAGGGAGACACTCACAATGAGGGATCAGTGTAATATGTGCTTCTTATTTCCATTGGGAGTCACGCCACTAAGGCCATAGGGAAGTGTACGCGGGACAGTGGTTAGCGTGTTCCATTACTAATCCAGAAACTTAAACAAAGAACTTAAATTAAACTTAACTTAAAGAACAGAAACCATAACTGAGAGCATCATTTCACTCGTAGTAACTCATCCAGAATATGCGAGCACCTCTCGAGCTAATTTATGTAATTTCAGTTGAATAACACTTGGAGCACACTTATAGATTGTGTTTATTTATCTTGCTCTCAGTTAATATATTGTGTAAGACCAATTTAATGAGCTTTTAACCAAGTTACAATGGAGTTGTGTTTTGCGTATGCACATAATCCTGTATTGTCCTGCATTTGAGGCTCAGAAGTTGGCACGTATCACCTATGGCCAATCCCTGCCAACAACTCTCTACTTCCTTGTGTAATAATATAGTCCCGGGGTCACTTGAATTTCAAAACTGTGCATTGTTCCAAAAGTAAAAACACCTTAATTTTAAAATGTCACTAAAAAGAGATGGGGCCAGACTCAGTTAGTCACTAATCTAGTTTCTATCGTTGACTGCAATTACAAGCTCACTAAAATCTGATTAATATCTGATTTGGAGACCTTTAAAATGACTTAAAGGACATGCAAACCACACACTTTGATGTGAGTTTTCAGAGGGACCATTGTCAGAAAGAAATCAGGTGGTTTTGCTGTTTACATTTCATTTTAATAATCTTTCAGCTCCAAAAATCTGTTAACAATGTAATTTTGAGTGTGCATGTAACAGCAGCCAGTGAGTCATTTAAGATCAATATTAACAAAGATATATATGTGCAATAGTTTGTTACTAAAGAGCAGTAAAAAAAAAAAGTTTCCTTTGAGGTTAGCAAGTTGAAATAGGTATTCGGTCCACTATCTACACTCTTTTGCATCGCCCATTGTAAAATATTAAAGGGTCTATATTATGCTATTTTCTCAGCTATTTTATAATGTTGTTTCCTCATCAAAATATATCTGAAGTTTTGTTTTGTTTCTTCCACACAAATCCTACATATTTACACTGAATTTTTTCTCTCAAACAGAAAACACTTTGCTCTACCTTGTGATATCATATGGTAATACAAGAAGTGCTCCACTGTGTTTTTAAACTTCACACACCTTCACTAGAATCATTTGGGTAAAACTTGAACTTGAAAACTACCACTTCATGACATCACAAGGTGGCACAGAGCATTTTGAGCTTTAGAGATTTAGCCAGCCTAATAATGCAGCGTTACTCAAACATGTGAAGCAAAACACAATGAGACAAAACACAACTCCAGGTATGTTTTTGAGGAGGTAACAGCATTATATATGACATGGCTTAAATCTCACAAGAACCAATTTTGTGTAATATAGAAGTATGAAGCAGTGAAGCAATGACTCATCTCCAGCTAATCTGGTACTCTGACCCACTCAGATGTCATTGTGCACACACGCTGCCTTCTTCGGGCAGCACAAGTCGTATGGCAACAGTTACTACTATACACTTCCTGTCCTTTCCATTGACAAGTCTTTTCATCATTTTTGATTCAGAGTTATAATCTCGTATGGTAGTCATTGAATACGATTGGTAGATACGACTTAAAGGTCTTATATTACACATAGTTGACTCTTGTGAACTTTAAGACAGGTTATAATGTTGCTTCTTTCTCAAAAACATATCTGGAGTTGTTTTGTTTCATTCACACATCCTTTATTATTAGTCTGTGTATATCTCCAAAGCTCAAAATGTTCTGTCCCACTTTGTGATGTCATGTAGTGGTGGTTTTTAGGTTAACAGCTCCTTTTCCCGTTCAATAAAGATGGGATATTCCAGGTGTAGTGGACCAAACAGAAAGGCAAAGACAAGGTATAAAAATAAGTTTAAATTTAATAAAGTAAAAAAATATATATAATTCAACAAAGGCTCAAATTACGTAACTAATAACAAAAAATCCAGGCCCAACTGAGGTAACTTAAATCAAACTGAATAGAACAAAACTAACCCAACCAGACAAAGGAACAGGGGTGTTTAAAGAGGGAGGAATCACACTAAATAATTAACTAAACTACTAACTTAATCAAAGTAACAAGAAGGCAAATAATTATAATACAGAAAATAATAAGTGATAATAATGTGACCTTAAAGCAAACTAAACAAACTAACTTAATAAAACTAACTAAATAGGGCTCCCCCTCCCCCTTGATGAGTTATGATGGTCTCTCCCGAGGGTCCTCCATCCGGTTCTCAAAAAAGAAAAAAAAAAGTGTATGTAAATCAGACTTATATTAACTAAAATGTGTGCACTCAAATTAGAATATAAATCTAAATTAAGGAATTCAATTATGTGTAATGTGATTAACTTAATGTAAATGAAATGAAATTATACTGACACTATGGAGTAGTGGCAGCACACCAGGGCTGAAATCATCCAAACACAGTGGAGCACTTCCTGTATTACACCATGACATCACAAAGTGGAAATGGAGTGTTTTCTGTTTGAGAGAAGAACTCTGTGTAAATGTGCAGAATTTCTGTGTTAAACGTGCGAATGAAACAAAACACAACTCCATGTATGTTTTTGATGAGGAAACAACGTTATAACAGAAAAAAAGATTTGAAAATAGAATAATATGGAAACTTTATACATTCTTCTAATCTCAGAGAAGCCATGTTTCAAGTAATGTACTAAATTATGTTATGTTTTATGTGGCTTTCAGTTAACAAAAGTACTGTATAACAAAGGCATTGATCTCTGTTCTTTCTATACGCATGAGTAGCTCATGCTGCAATCCACTTAGCACACAGCAGCTAACACTAATTGATTGAGTTGGCTAATCCTATACCGATCTTTATAACAACATCTGTCAAGCTACGGTTTGCATCACAAGAACGTCATGTCTCCACTTTGGTTTTATGTATCAATTAACCTTTAAAGCAATAATAGTGATTGTCATAGGGATTTCAAAATGGCCACTCCTTAAACATTTCCATATATTTCAAGAACATTACAGTAAAAATGCTTTCTAAAGGCATATACACAGTAGACTGACATTTCATTTCGTTGCTCTGTATCCGCTATTGCAGCTCAAGGATGTTGTTGCACAATCCTGTAACACTGTATAGAAGAATAGTGGAAAGTGGATTGAATTGAAAGAGTAGCCAGGCAGAGCACGCCAACTTCAATATGTCAAGAATTTCAATGATAAATAAGAGATATAAAAACAAAATAAAAAATCAAGGTGAGCAAAAACATGTTGATAGTCAAAAAGAAAGCAAAAACATGGAAAGACGAGGAAAACCGAATTAAATAATGGTGAAATAATAGTAACTAAAATGTATAGTTCTGTTTGTGTGTATTGAAATCTACACTTCCACACACTTTCACCAATTTCTGATAGTTGATATAAAATAAACAAAAAATTAAATAAAATACTGGGGAACATAAACAGTATTAAAGGTGCACTATGTGATCCGTCACCTGCTCATTGCGATTGAGATATTTTGCCTGAAATATTCCACAGTATGGCATTGACCTTATCAATCTTGCATATATTAATATATATATATTTTTTAATTACAGATGATCTTGAAACCAAGCATTCTAACTGTGAGCGAGCTTGCCTCTCCACAGCTCTGACCTAGAATTTGGTCTGGTGTAAACATGAGATCATGTAATGCCATTCTGTGAAGTATTTCAGGCTGGGCGAAAAATAAAAATAAAAAATAAAAAATCACCATGAAGACAAGCAGATGATGTATCAGAAAAGTTACATAGTGCGTGTTTAATCTTAAATTGCTCCCTAAATGTGACTCTGCTCTGCTCTTTCCTTGGTTTTTAAACAAATGGGAGAATTAAAGATGCCGTATCTGATTTTTACTGTCTTAAAAATGTGAAAAACAAAAATAGTTCATTTTAAACTGTTTGCAGTGGTCCAAAACTTAACCCTCGATGACCTTATGAATTCAGACTGTCCCAATTATCCGCCATAATGAGTTCATAAGTGTTTTTCACAACTTTCAGAAGCTAGAGTGGAGTTTTCCTGTGACACTAAAGCTAACAACAATTGGCAAGCTTACCGCTCACTTCCAGATTATCGAACAATAAAACTCTTTCCAATTAGATGCAGGCAGCACACAGCAGACATATTTTGACCTCAAGAGCTGTGTAGACAATAAATGTGTGCCGCGGCAAGACAAAGTTTGCTCATATACATGGGAAAATCGGTTACAGGGCCTTTAATACAACAGGGAAATCTTTGCTAATGTTAAATGTGTGCTTTTTCTTGTCAGTGCTTCCTCTTTCATGTGAGATTTTCCTCAGACAGACAGAAGGACAATGGACCATGTACCCCGACTCTCACCCCAGCACTATGTGTTTTGATAGTGACATTTTATCTATGGCTTGATTTGATTAGCCATACATGTGCACACACACCTATAACATAACTGTAATCATGGGAACCAAACAAGCTTTATGAAAACAAAAAGTGAAATATTTTTATAGCTGACACCTAAATAATGAATTGCTGTCTTATATCTTTTCACTTACGTACTTTGCACTTATACCACGTGAAAAAGCTCCAACATGAAGTTCAAATATTTGTGAAACCAACGGCATTGATTCTTGCAGGTTCATTTTGTACATGCTGTACAGTAAAGAAATGTTAAAACGTCAAAAACTCTTTGAAATATACATTATTTATTTTTACCATTTTGTAATTTAGACACAATACTGTAGCTTCAATATTGCCAGACTTACTGGAAGTGCCTATTGGTATTATGTATGATAACAGTGAATATATCTGCAGATCAGTAGAAGTTGTCACAAACTTAACTATGTGGATGTTGTAATGTGAATACATTGAATTACAAAACATAACTTCTGTTGTACTGTTGTCTCCATTCTTTTTATTTGTGCCAAAATCTTGTCTTTTCTTTTACATTGCCAGTAGAAGTGAAGAGATTGGTTGTTAGCTGTGAATAAGATTGCATCATGTCATTTTTTTCCAAAGAAGAGTCTGTCACTTGTCTCCACTGAGATGTTGTTACTTTGCCTTGAATATTCAACAGTATGTCATTATACATATGTACTATATCTCCATGAAGACAAGCAGGTGATGCCATCAGGCCAAATTAGAATGCATCTTTTTCAAGGTACTGCAATAAAATTCCCTGTAATTTAATAAATGCAACGCAAAAAACATGTCCAGGAAACAAGCAGGTGGGAGACCCTCTAAAGGTTACACAGTGCACCTTTAAGGATCTGAGAGAGTCAAGAATGATGACAGGACAGCACTTCCAGACCTGCGCCTCTAGTGGTTTGATCTTGACCTGCAGTGAACTGTGCACGTCAAAGTGTCGTTTGTCTTTCAGAAGAACGTTTCAAGTTGTCAGTGCACTGGATGTGAGAGTGCAGATGGCCGCAGCCTGGTCTGTGGACTTAGCATGTTCTTAAATCACGGAGGTGTCAAACAAACTTGAGTCCTCTAAAAGTGGAGCCACCCGAGCTGCTCACGTGAGACTGATCCTGCAGGGTCTATGCTAACATGTGGAGAGAGGAGACTTGCTGTATATATAGGCTTCCCTGTCGTCCCCATGGCAACAGAGAAACATGAGAAATACACCGTGGCCACCTGAACGACACACGGCACACAATTATGACCTTATCTGCTGACATTTCATTAGATTTGCCCAAAGCATTGGTTACTGTACATTATGGCAGGCCTAAGCCAAACAGCTCTGCATGGGCACTTTTTAGTCGGCCTCTTTTTCTGTAGCCTAGTAATAAGCCTACAAAGTAGAATTATAGTAGCCTACACAAATGAAAAATTGAGTCACTATTAAAAACAAATTAGCAAACCATGGTGGTGTTATGCTAAAAACATAATAGCCTAATATTATAAGCCTAGTATCAATGTATTATCAATCACTTTACATGCGCAATATCCCAGTCCACTTTTTAATTCATCTTTACACCTGTTTTCCTGCGATACACTTTGTTTGATTCATTGTTAAGGTGGCGTTTTTAAATGCATTTGAGTTTTCCATTACTGTTTATTCTATTTAATGAACTAAGATATAGTTCATTATAGTACATAAAAGAAATAGCTTGGTTGTAGTAAGCAAGCCGTTTATGATGCGTCAAGTATCATTTTACGTGTTTTGGGTTAGACTGCGCTCTGGGTGCGATTCTTTATTATGTTCTTAGCTGTACGCCTCATTGTAGAACACGTTGTTCCGGGACTTTTGTAGAATTTGTGTGCAACTAGATACGTTAAATGAGTGGTACTCTTAACAGAGCGTATTGTTTTCCACGATCGTCTTGTTTCAAATGCATGAGAGCGCAGGCTCTGTCCTGCTGTGAGCCTGTACAGTGTGGACAGCTTCACGTCAGAGCGCACGCTGGGAGCGCACGCCGCAGCTGCCTGCTCCCGTACCCACCCTGCAGCACCCCCACTACATAACTCCTCTACTCCTGCACACAACGGCACGCACAGAGCGCGAGGATGCACTGCACACAGCGACCGACCCAGACGCGACAAGAAGTCTTTGTGTCTCCCAAAAGAAGTTAGAAACACCTCGGAACAAAACCAAACAGGATTCTGGACAAGGTAGGCTACAGTAAGTGCAGATACGTTTTCATTTGTCGCACGGTGCAACTAAAGAGGCGTAAATGATGTAGATTATTAGGAAGTGTAGAGTTTTGATGCAGACAAATGAGTTTACACAAGGAATAATGATGATGAATGGACCTGAATCAAAGAGCACGTGGCATCGAAAGTCGCAGAGCACGTTGTGTGACTAGAGCGTGCTCCAGATTTGGGTTTGTTTTGACTGGAGTCTGGTCGTCGCACTGTCAGCGGTTACCTTCTCCAGGATAACACAGTGTTCTTCACACCAACCATACAAGAAAGAACTTGAGAGAAGTGATGTGGAGCTCGTATTCAAGTGTAGTGGGCGGGTTTAGTTTTAGATTGATACAGAATGTTTATATTTTGTTTTGTTTTGGGGTTTTTTTTGTAAATATTCAGTGTGCTGCAAATCTCAGCCATCTATAGCAGTCAGGATGTCAGACAATAACATATCCGTGTGTAAACTTATAAGGATGCCTGTATTTTGAAAGAGAGAAGGGACAACTATAAAGTGAAATAATGCATTCTCATGCATCCGGCTCATAACGGGGACTGTCAGTTACTATGGGCCGTAGGCAGGGCACACCCTCGGTAGAACAAGGATAACAATCAGTCACAGGTCTATGGGAAGATCTTGCTGAAGCTGCGAGGCCAGAACGCTAACTACTCTGCCAAAGTTTCTCCTCATAAATCTTACATGTATTGCATTCAACTCGGTTGCATGCAAAATGTATTTGATATATTTACTAATTTAAATGGGAGCTGCACTTGTTTACACTGACGGACTGTTCACAGCCTGCTGGTGTTGATGCATGTTACAGTTAGAGGAGTTGGACTGTTGTCATGTTCTCAGTCTACGCTGCAGTTCAAAGCCCGAGGACCGTCTGGGGAGCTGTCTCGTCTCAGCTTTTGGAGTCTGACTTTGTGTGGGCTCTGCCCTGATTTCAGCACCACTCTGTCTATGTCACATCATGTACTGTAGACACAGAAAACTCACACATATAAAGTACACACCACATCAAGTTTAAGAACGCCTCAATCACACACAATGTAATTTGAATGTTTTAAACCCGCATTTTTAAAATATTCACCTGGAAAAGACAGCAGTGTGCCTCTGTCAAGCAATATAAGTGATTATTGTCCATTTGGCACTCATACTGCCTCTATTAGCTCTGGCTGTCACTTCTGCTCACTGTTGTTTAGCTTTACATTGTGCATGGTCACTTAACATCTGTTATCTGCCCACTGAAATGGGAAGTGGACTGGCTTGTTAGTGTTCCTGAATGTAGCTCCTTAATATACACATTTCACAGAAATACACATAAAATACCCCAGATTAGCACAATGCCATTTGGAATACAATTTAACATTTTGAACAAAGAAAATAAGTCAAATAGGTTTAACACACTTGTAATGCACAAAGGTTTGTAATATAAGAAGTGCTTTAGACAAAGAGAAACCTTTTACTTGAAAAGGAAAAAGTCTTTTTTTTTTTTAACAAAGCATTGCAATAAAAGACTATGGAAGCAACAGAGCAAGAGACTCATGTACCATTGAGAATCAAGAGCTGTTCAGTCTGGGGAGGGATAATATTGTATATACAGTACATGTACGTACCATGTATGTACTAGAATCAATAATATGTTTCTGTTTTAATATCTTCAACAGGGAAGAATACAACTTACAGTTTAATCTAGAGAAAGAAAAAAATCAATCATGAAGCCTATAGACAAAGCCACAGCAAACAACTGGATGCTGGACAACCCCCTCCACTCCTCAGCTGAGAAGTGCTCCTGCCACCCTAACCTCAAGGTACTACACCAATTACAACAGCACCTAACACATGCCATGTTTACTATGCAAGTACTACATTTTAAACTACATGGAAGTTGGCCTGGTGGTGGGTTCGACTCCCAAGTTGAGTGGTGCCTTTATGTGTGGAGTTTGCATATTCTCCCTATGTTTCAGTAGATTTCCTTTGACCAGCCCCGTTACATCCATCATTTTAAAAGCAAATTACGTCCTTGTGATGGGTCTCCTCAGGTTGAAGATTAAAAGGTTAAAGGTCCTGTATGTTTGTTGTCATGTTTTGAATAACCTGAATAATATGAGGTGTTCATAACTTTTCCAGTGGGGCATTTGTAAACTGGTTGTCTCCATTAAGATGTTACTGCTTTGCCTGGAATGTTCTATAGTATAGCATTAAATGTATTTATCTCCAGACAAGCAGGTGATACGGATGATACATGTTGGAAACCATTGTACTTGATAAATTTGTTGAATGCCATTCTGTTGAACATAAGAGTCAAAGCAATAATTGCATCTCTGTGGAAACAAGCAGGTGGAGTACCCTCCATCAGAAAAATGACATAGCACCTCTAAAGTCCACTAGTTACCTGTGTTCCCTACATTATTTAAAGGTTCTGTAAAACAGTTGTTGGAGTGTACAAAGCCAGAACAAAAGCCTAAATAATATATGATACAGTACCTTTCACTTTCAGATATACAGTGAATAGACAGACAGTCTTCACACAGAGACAGCCACAGGATCCACATATCTGTCAGTTCAAAGTCACCTGACTGGCCTGAAGTGAAACAAATCACATGAAAGTGAGCAGCAGAGCACTGAGGCTGTACATGTGATGGTCAATATATCACTGTATGCACTTTCATGGACAGACAGTGCCGTAGTGTAAACAGACTGCCCTCCTCAGACAGTTCAAAAGCCAAAACACACACACACAATTACACACAATTACACACACACACACGCACGCACACTCACACACTCATGCACACACACATTGTTAAAGTGAATTCAAAAGTAACTGGGGGAAGTTGGAGCCTCTTCAGTAGCAGCTGTGACCGAAGGTGCAGGTCATCATTATTCAAAGTGCAATTTAGATTTCGTGTGTGTGGACGGGTATTTATCGCACTGTGAACTGATACACACCCACATTATTGAAAATGAAATAAGGTCCACATGACATAAATTCTTTATTATTAAATCATTCACACAGTTTACATTTCAGATTAGTTAAAATTCAGGTTACATTTAGGCAAATCGTGACCCTGGTTAAATACATCATGTTGTTTAGAATTTCATAAACATGACCTATCTGTGTCCCCAGATATGAGATAAATATGTTCAAATCAGACTTAGCTTTTATTGATAACAATTGTGGTGCTGATTCATTCAACATTGGACTTGATGTTTATGTTATAGGTTGATGTTTTTGTTCTTAACTCAGTTATCCAATCAGAAAGCAGAATGAGCCTCACATGAGTCTCTCATTTGGGTTGTCCGTTTCAATGCTGAAATTCAGTTGGTTTAATCCTAAAACAACTCTCTCTGACCTGAATTCTCACTGAATGTATGTTAATGTAATGTCCCAAAATGTCATGGGTGCAAACTTTGTCAATTGTCAGATTATTATTATTTTTTTTTTATGGATGGCTAAACTAAAAGATAACAGCATTTCATTATGTAGTGAAGTGTATCCTACATAATCACCTGGTCAGTGAGTGTACAGCAGTCTTATAAAATGGTCTTTGGCAAAGTCTGAGGTTTTGTAAAAGGTCATGGTCTGAATTAGATTAAGAAGTAATGGACAATTATTCCTAAAGCTGATTAGCAAAATACTTGGGCAACTTTATAGAGAAAGCCATTTATGCTATTGTTTTGTGTACTTCATGTCTGGTGCTTGGTAATCCAGCGTCTTACTGAAACACTTACAGTATCGGTTTGTTTTTCTAAGTAAGACCCAGTTGTGTCCATGTGCACATGTGTTGGTCATAGGTGTTCTAATCATGCTGCTTTAGCTGGGATTAGTGCTGTGTTGTGCACTAAACCAGGGCACGTGCTGTGAAGAACAGGGAACAGGGATGTTGGACTACTTAAAAAAATAAATACATAATATAAACAAAACATGTATAGACTTAAATATTGTTTCCATTAAACTAATTCAAAATATTGAATAGATTTTGCAGATACAGTATTTGGAGACCACACCCGTAACAAGGGGTCACTGAGCAGAGAACACACTGTACAATATCAATTCAAAACCACATTTGTAGAGGACTTGAATAGGCTATAGAATTGGTCTTGCATATTTTCAATTCAGTTGATTTCTGTATAGCCTGAAATCATAGCAGCTCTCACCTTGCAGGCCTTCACAAAACTGTTGATTTAACCGAAACTGTTAAATATTGAAACAGGCATTGGCAGGAAACAGATAAACCAACATTCACAGGAAACAAGCAAATGAATAACTGTCCCAGGGAACAACAAGGAAAACCTCCAAAACCCCATCCAGCTCAAATCTGTTTAATGACACTAAACACTAACCATTTCATGAGAAATTCTTCAAGACAATAGTACAAAAGTTACACATTTACCTTTTTCAAAAAGACGATCACTTGGCCTCTGCTCTATAGCCTCAATTGTAGATGGAAATATTCTGTTTTATGAATAGCCAAACTTTCCTAACATTAATGCAAAGCTCAGGCTTATGCAAACTCATGTATTAACCCATCTTAGACCACCCAGATGGTTGCCATAGCTGCATTTGTGGCGTGAACCTGTTTCTCATTTATATGCCAGTGCGGATACAGGTTTGAGCTGAGCAGATACAAGTTGATCTCCACAGGCTGCTGCTAGCACTTCATTCTTATCAGCTGACACATTGTGTACCTGTACATTAGCTAACAATCACTGGTGTACAAAGCTCTTAGAAAGGCACAGTAACGGGAGAACAATGTGTCTTTAGCTACTCTGTTGGAACATACTGTATTCAATTTGTGAATGGAAGCAGTTTATCTGAAAAACTAGAACATCAGTTTCTTTTCCAGACCACGCAACTTTTAACCCGGCTTACGCCAGGCTGATATGTGTACCACTGTGAACTCTCGTTGAAAGAATTTAATTCAGAAAACGTGGAACATTGTGACGATTATTTGAATCTGATTGGTCGAAGTGTCATAAAACGTTTGTTACATTCACTTGAGAAAAAAGTACAGACATCTTCCATGTCCACAAATGCACAAAGTGCTTACCTTGCACATTTATTTCTGCTAAAATAGGCTGAAGTACATCTGTCAGCTTCATTGTGTGTTTTGGTTCATCTGGGCGCTTGGCTTTTGGCTTCCACATGAACCTCTGTGCCGCTCTGTGATTGGTCCGCCTGAATAACCTTACAGTGGGAGTCCTTTTATATGGATCGTAGTGAGTTTGTGAACTCACAAATATCTGCAGTATCTTGTTGTGCAAGGTTACTCTTTAGCTTCACTGATAACACAGGCAGAAAAAATAATGAAAGTAAACTACAATTTTTTTTCTCAAAAAATATGCAAAAGATCTCTTCATCTACAACCACTTTGACAATATATGCACCTTTGAGCATACAGTAGTCACAAAACTCTGCTGTCGCTATCATTTATTCACTTAAAGTGGGTAAGAAACACTCTTAAGATGATTTCTCTGTAGTGAATGGCACCTGATTGACTTGATTATAGCTGTTCTTAATGTTTGTATGATTCTAGCACAGACACAGATGTGTGAACTGTCAGTCACAATAGTAATGACACATTACAGTTTGGAGGGTGGTGAGCTTCCTCTTTTCACATCTGTGTATCCAATTACTGCTCCTGTCACTGCTCCGTCAGGTCTGTGTGTGCATGGGTCTGACTGAGAGGTCGCCTCTAATCCTGTCTTTGTTAGTAACCATCATGTCCATAGGTGACTACAGAAAAAAGACACGCTCAATATAAGACCTCTATAGTGCTGCTGTACTCTACACGGGTTTCAAACAGAGACCTCAACCATATGCACACTGGTGAAAGGGAACTGTTCTCATATTTACTTTTTTGGTTGCATGCAAAATTAAGTTTTACTTTTGCTAAAACCAGTAAATGTGTAATTAGTGACTTCTAAGAGTAAAATAAAATCCACAGATCCACTGACCGACAGGTTGGCGGTGTGATTCCAACTCCCACAGATGAATGCTGTCATTGTGTCCTTGGGCAAGACACTTAACGTACCTCACCCCTAGTGTCTGCTTACACTGGTATATGAATGTGTGTGTGAATGGGTGAGTGGTTCCTTGTTGTAAAGCACTTTGAGGGCCTTGAAGGTGGAAAAGCGCTATATAAAAATGTGACATTACCATAAATCAAGTATTGCCCCAGTTCAGATATATGCAGCATAAGCAGCTCCTGAAGTCAAAACAAGTACATTGTGTACAATCTGCATCTAATTCTGAAGCGTTTTATTGTACACATGCTAGTTGTCCAAACACAGCCTACAGCACCTTTAATCCCAGTCATTAAAGTGCTGGCTCTCCCTGTGCTTGCAGATGTTTCTGGCTGCCCTGTCTTTTGCCTATTTTGCCAAAGCGTTGTCAGGCAGCTACATGAAGAGCACCATCACACAGCTGGAGCGCCGCTTTGACATCCCAAGTTATCTGATCGGCATCATTGATGGAAGTTTCGAAATTGGCAAGTCTTTATTACTGTCTCCAATGTCTCAGAGTAATTGAATACAGAGAATGTGTCATCTAATGAGCAGAGAGAAGAGGTGCAGTGTGCTAGTAAAAAAAAATATTATTACTGTAGAAAACAATAAGGCAAAAAACTTGCTCCAAACAATATCTGCATTCCAATACCACAGCTAATATAATGCCTATACAGTACAGCAACAAGAAGAGGAATTCAAGGTCTACCTCAGAGACATAAAATAAAAGCAAATGAGTAGAGTTGTAGTTGGCATTGTGAAAATACATTTTAAATATGATATGCTTTGACACATTCATTGTTATCACAACACAATCAGTGTGCATCCCGCTAATGAAACTACTGCACATTGCATCAGGTTTGTTAAGCTGCTATGTACGGTTTTGTATTATATTTGTATTGTATTATATTTTTGTGTATGGAGAATTGTCATGTGGAAACATGGGTGACATAAAAATGTGAGCTCAGCATTGAACAGAATTTACAGCTATTGGGCAATTAATCAAATGTATTTGATTAATTTTTGTTTTTAATAATCAAGATTTAGAAAAATAGCAAAATCGTGAAATTAAGAATTATTATGAAACAAGTTTACTCCTGACATTCTTACTAGCAAATCTCATGTAATCTAATGTTGATAGTTTAAATTAGAATAGCTATACAAATGTAACTGAAGAAAGTTTACATTTTCTTAAATAATAGAATGGGATATGTTGAATGAAAATGTAAAGATCTTCCGCTATTTGAAAGACTAGCTGTCCCTTCTCTGAATACTAATCGTCCAGGGTGCGCAAAAAAAAAAAGTAGATTTTGACAATTTAGACATGGTAGAAAGCTCAGGAAAAATCTATTTTTCATAATGTACCCTCTTTAAAAACATGCCCTGTTTACAGGAAATCTATTGGTGATCGCCTTTGTGAGCTATTTCGGGGCCAAACTGCACCGACCCAAGATCATTGCGCTGGGCTGTGTCCTCATGTCCTTTGGGACCTTCCTGATTGCTATGCCTCATTTTTTAATTGGCAGGTTGGTACACAGCAGATGCATTATTATATATATATTAGTGCTGTCATGCGATTAAAAAAATTGAGAGATTAATTAATTATGATCTGTAATTAATTAATCTAATTAATCTCATTTTAATCTCACCTAAAAATTGCTGAGAAAAGCCTTCAATTTGAGGTATTTTCATTTAAATTCATTATTACATTATTGTGGCAGATCAAAAGACTAATATAGATTTTAAAAAGTGACTTTATAAAGTCATTTATTGTTTAACAAATCTCTCCAATTTGGCTGTTGAGCCCAAGTCTCCATGAATAAGAAACTGTTTGTTGTAAAGTAGCAAAGACGAGGAAATCTGAACATAATAACTTTTGTCTACTTAAAGACAATAAAAAGTCCATATTAAAAATATTATTGATAGAGAAATGCTTTATATATGAGATCACTGGTTTTAGTCCTGGTTTAGACCTGGTTTAGACCTACTTTAGTCCTAGTTTAGTCCTGGAATGGATTAATCCTGGTTTTAGTCCTGGTGTTAGTTCTGGTTTAGTCCTGGTTTAGACCTGGTTTTAGTCCTGGTGTTAGTCCTGGTGTTAGTCCTGGTTTAGACCTGGTTTAGACCTGGTTTAGTCCTGGTTTAGTCCTGGTTTAGTCCTGGTTTAGACCTGGTTTTAGTTCTGGTTTTAGTTCTGGTTTAGTCCTGGTTTAGTCCTGGTTTAGACCTGGTTTAGACCTGGTTTTAGTTCTGGTTTAGTCCTGGTTTAGTCCTGGTTTAGACCTGGTTTAGACCTGGTTTTAGTTCTGGTTTTAGTTCTGGTTTAGTCCTGGTTTAGTCCTGGTTTTAGTCTTGGTGTTAGTTCTGGATTAGAGGCGCACAGGAGGAAGCGCGGTTTACGCCGCGTACGCGAGAAAACACGATCCACACGCGGCTCACGGGAGCACGTCGGTGTCCGCGCAGTGTCTACGGAAGGAAACATGGTCCGCGCGTTCTCAGGTTAATGACGATGATGAAGGTGTGTGTTTGTGTTTGTGTGTGTTTGTGTTGTGTGTGTTTGTGTGTGTTTGTGTGCGTGTCCCCTCATGTGCAGGTTGTTTTCAGGCGATATTATATTTGTTATTTTCTTTTATATTTCACGTCGGGAGAATAATTTCCAAGACACGAATGTGTTTTTACCTGTGCGCTGCTGCCTCTGTTCTACTGGCTCTTCGACCTCGTCCATTGTGCCTGACGCCGCCAACGTTAACATGACGTTTACATCGCTCTTACTGCGCGCGTTTTGTGTGGCTTTCCGGCAATGAGTGGAATTACCGAAATAAAAAAAATTTATAAATGTGTTTGTGTGTGTGTGTGTGTTGTTGTCCCAACAACACATAAAAACAGGTTTTATAATAAAGAAACTCACATACAGAAACACTAAAGTTAGAGATTAAAAATGAGATTAACGCGATTAAAAAACATAACGCGCTAAATATGACTGTAATTAATTAATCGTAATTAACGCGATAATTTGACACCCCTAATTCAAATATTATAGGTATTTTTTTCCTATCTAAGGTATCAACAAAATGAGTCAAGCACCCTGGCTGTATTCATATTTCTGATGTATCTGTCAGTAAACTACAAATTGATTTTAAAATTTTTCCCTGTTCACCTGCAGTGTCTCTCCTTGTGTGTGTGGCTGGTTGTATTTCACCTTAACATATCTAAATCTACACAATGCCTACACTCTTTCCATTGTGTACACAGCTACAAGATCCACACCGCAGTCAGACCCTCCCTGAATTCATCCAATGTACTAACCCCATGTTCTCCTGGCCCACCTGAGTCGGCCATGACAGGTGAGCATGCAAAAATTAGCCCTTCTGGGAACACGATATTCTTTCATTAGACATTTTCAGTTTAACACTTGTATTTTGCAGGTTGTGAGCGTGAATCCAGTGTGTCCATGTGGATCTATGTGTTTTTGGGAAATGTCCTTCGTGGAATTGGAGAGACCCCGGTTCAGCCTTTAGGAATATCTTACATAGATGACTACGCTCGGTCTGAGAATGCTGCTTTCTATATTGGTATACACATCCTCTTTGCTTTATTTTGTTTTCAGTATTTGCAGATGTAAGATTTTGGTGGTGGATCTGTTACCTACTTGTCTCCATGGAGATGTTAATGCTGTGCCAGTAAATTATGTTGCTTTTATTCAATTACAGGTGTTTTATTGAAAAAAAAAAAAACAAATTACTTCACATGTACTTAATATGAGAGCAGGGCTATCTCTCCATACAGCTGACCTGTTTCTTGGCTTGGGGCTTTACGTGCTTATCTCCGAGGAGATAGACACGATGCGAATTCGCCGAGGGGAGGAGTAGATCATTTTAATGCCATACAGGCAAGACATTACCATCCACATCGAGACAAGCAACTGGTGGACCTCTGCAAAAAAAACATTAGAATTGCACACAAAACATTAAAAACAACACTAAGCACATTGTATTGGTTAAAACAGGGGTGTCAAACTCAAATTCACAGAGGGCCAAAATTAAAAACTGGGACTAAGTCGTGGGCCAAACTAAATATTTATTGAAAAATTTCAACAACATCTCTTCTCTCTTCTTTTGAGATATTTAATGTTAAACCTTTTCTTAATAAAATAAATGTTTAATAATAGTTTTGTTTAAACATTGAATCCAGAACAAGAGTAATATAAAATAATAACAAAATTTAAAATAAATAATGTTTAAATAAAAATAATAAAATCTCGCGTGCCAAATATAATTATATTGTGGGCCAAATTTGGCCCCTGGGCCTGAGTTTGACATGTCTGGGTTAAAATGTGTCAAAGTTATGAGTAATATCAGGTTATCTTTTCTGTACAGGTTGTGTCCAAACCATAGCTGTGATTGGCCCTGTGTTTGGATACCTTCTTGGTTCATTATGTGCCAAAATTTATGTGGATGTTGGTAATGTTGACATGGGTAAGAAAACACAAATAAATAGCAATAGTATCAGAGTGTTTGGACTTGCTAAAACATGAATGTGAGAGTATTATTTTAATCTTTTTCCATAGAAACGGTGACTATTACCCCTGGAGATGCCCGCTGGGTTGGGGCATGGTGGCTCGGGTACATCATTACCGGTGTGGTTACCCTCATGTCCGCTGTACCCTTCTGGTTCTTACCCAAGTCCCTGCCCATCCCTCTGGAGAAACTGGACTCGAGCAGCAGTCCAGAGCAGGCGCGCTTCATCAAGGACTCCCCGCGGATGCAACACAAGTTCAAACAGGAGGAGCCGGCCGACCTGCACCAGATGGCCAAAGGTAATTCAAGCAATCACACGTGTCCTGGTTTGGTTCTGGTGTGAGCCCAAGTCTTGATCTAGATTCATTCAGTGTTGCAATTTAATTATTTATTGGATGTTATTGTATAGAGAAATATTCAGTCCCATTCAATTTATTTTTTGTATAGCCCAAAATTGAAGTCTGCCTCAAAGGGCTTCACAAAATTGTTGATTTAAAGGCACTGTACCATATTTTTACTGTCTGTAAAAACATAAAAATCTGAACTTTCTTTTAAAATGGTTTGTAGAGGATCAAAGTCATTTCTCACTTTTGTGACCTATTCCTAGCTTCCTAATTATTCATTTCAATGAGTTTATAAGTGCTTTTCACAGCTAGAGAGAACAACTAGCAGGCTAACAGCACACCAATATTACGGTCTGGTTCATGGATTAAAATGCTTTCTCACTAGATGCAGACAAGACCTTAAGAGCTGTTTATACAATATGTCTGTACTGGGGCAAAACTTATTGTACTTTATTCCATAAAAAAAAAAGAAGAACATAACGAATAACGTTGGTGGTTACTGGTAACATTTGTGCAGTGATACACATTTTTCAATGTATAAATTTAGTCTTGTATACACAGAGAAATATTACACAAAAATAAATAAATAAATCAAATAAAAGGTTTATATTGACCTAATGAAATCCTCCATATGCTCCATGTATTTCCACAGATTTCATCCCCACTTTAAAAAGTCTGCTTGGAAACCCCATCTACATCCTTTATCTCGGTGTGACCATAATCCAATTCAATTCTCTGATTGGAATGGTCACGTACAAGCCCAAATACATCGAGCAGCACTACGGTCTGTCGGCATCCAAGGCCAATTTCCTCATGGGTGAGTAGGCTCCGTGAGTGAGCTCTCCCTGTTTAAAGATGCAGAACATAGGCTGTGTTTCAGGTGTTTGATGAATGCTTTCAGCTCCAAGTCACACAATTTAAATTGACGACACATAATATGAAAAAACACCTTTTGGTCATTAGAGAAAACTTAAGTGTGGGCCAAATTTGATTGAGGTTTTAGTGAAGGTGAACAGAATGGGCTTACTGAAAAGTTATACATTTTTATTATTATTATATTGCTTAAAGGTGCACCATGTAACCTTTCTAATGAAGGGTCATCAACTTGCTTGCCTCCATTGAGATTTTATTGCTTTGCCTGGAATATACCAAAGTATAACATTAAACTCATCTATCTTGCAAGTTGTAAATTACAGATGTGTTGATTACTGAAAAAGCCCTTGAAAAACGTGCATTCTGGGTGTGGGTTTGCCTTTGTATAAATCTGACTCATAGCATCACATGTTTGTCTCTATGGAAAGAGAGAAGGTTTATGTCATACCAACGAACATTACTGGCAAAACCATAACATCTGTGCGGACACAAACAGTAGTTGGTACACCCAAGGCAATTAAATGTATTTGGCACTGAGCAAGGACCAGCCAAACTCAGAAGACAGGATGAACTAGTTTAGACGTCTTTCACATTTCAACAAGACTGGACAAGGAGAGGGAGCAATGCAAGGTTTTATATGTTGTTGTTATAAGTATTTATTGGAAACTACTGTTAATAGGTTTTGGATTGAGTTAGAAAGTATGTTTCTATCCATTCCGATTAAAAGCGCTATACCAGAACTAATTCATTTTAAAAGGTTTGCAGTGGTCCAAGCTATTCCATACCTACCTTGTTCATTTCAACCATCTTAATTATTCACCACACCACTTTATAATGTACTTTATAAGCTCTTTTCACAACTTGCAAAGTTTAGAGTGGAATTTTGCTGTGACGGTGAAGCTGAAAACAACTAGCAGCATGTTAACGTGTACTTCCTGATTCAAACAATTAAACACTTTATAATTACTCACAGACAGTACACAGCAGATATAGAAGAGCTGCTTATACATTATATCATTACTGGGGAAAGACAAATTTTGGTAAATGGGGAAAAAATTGGGCACTATATGAAGCAAAATTGACTCTTTTTTTTAAGTCAGTAATGTCTGAAATTTAAGTCAGTAATGTTGTTACTTCCTCAAAGGTATATCCATAGTTGTGTTTTGTTTCATTTACGCACGCATGTTTAAGTAACCTTTTATTATTAGTCCGTCTATATTTCTAAAGCTCAAAATGCTCTGTTCCATTTTGTGATGTCATGAAGCTACAGCTACCTCTTACCTTTAGTTCAGTAAAGAGTGGAGCACACCACGTGACATCAAAATGTGGAATAGAGTTTTCTGGTTCTTAACCTTGATATACCAGCTTTGTGTGTTAAACATGTGTGAATGAGATAAAACACAACACAACACCAGATATGTTTGTAATGAGGAAACATTATAACAGATCAGAAAATAACATAATATGGGCCCTTTATGTATGTCTATACATTGATTGCTGATCTTGTGTCGTGTGGCGCAGGCATCATCAACATCCCAGCTGTGGCCCTGGGGATGTTCTCTGGAGGGCTCCTCATGAGGAACTGTAAGCTGGGCATTATGGGAGCAGCCAAGTTTGCCTTTGGGACCTCCCTGCTGGGCTACTTCCTGTCACTGTTCTTCTTTGCCATGGGCTGTGAGAACGCGAAGGTGGCAGGTGTCACGGTTTCCTACACTGGGTAAGTCTATTAATAATGTCACATGACAATACAACACAGATAATTAACCTTTATATTAAGACCCCAGAGTTGTGAACTTTATTATTGTACCTATTACTGAGTGGAAAGTATTGGACAGGAAATAAACCTTTAGTCTGTATAAGTATTATGAGCGGAAAGCATGGGGACATATATAGACAAGGGAATTTTAAAAGGGCCCATATTACACTATTTTCTGATCTATGTTAGAATCTTGTTTCCTCATAAAAAAACATACTGGAGTTGTGTTTTGTTCCTACACACATTTAAGACATAAATCTTGCTTTCTAGACTCTGAGTTCTTATCTCAAAGTTAAAACACTGTTCCACCTTGTGATATCATGTGGTAAATCAGGAAATGCTCCACTGTGTTTTTAAACTCCATACACTTTCACGAGAATAATTTGAATAATTTCAGCTCTGGAATTTCCGATCCAGGTAAAAGGTAAAAAGTAGCTGCTAACTTGAAAACCACCACTACCTGACAGCACAAGGTGGAACAAAGCATTTTGAGCTTTGGAGATGGAGACAACCTAATAATACTGGATTATTCAAACATGTATGAATGAAACAAAACATAACTCTAGGTATGTTTTTGAAGAGGTAACAACATTATAACATGGCTTGAATTAATAAATTATGGACTACTATATAACTTTGAGAAGCTAATAAATCCATGTCATTATTGTTATTATAAAAGTCTCTCCAGTACACCAAAGAGTGTTTAACAGAAGGAACCGTGCTAATTTAGTGTAAGATGGCCATCTGGTAGAAATGTGCCAGAATACACAATGTGTCATATAATGTACCTCATATACATTGCTCAAACAAGCATATACTGAATTTCTTTACGTTAATAATCTATGCCAACAGTCATATTTCTTCTTATAATTCCCTTTGTATTGCTAGCTGACACTTATTTCTTATGCACTGCTTGGAGCTTGTTTTTGATGTATTTTTCATATAGACAGTCAATAATATATGCATTTGTATTTTGCTTTGTGTAGTGCAGAAAGTGTGTCCTTCCAGGATCACTCGCTCTTCTCCGAGTGTAACTTGGGCTGCTCATGTTCACGGAGAGAGTGGGACCCGGTCTGTGGCAGAAATGGAGTCACTTATGTTTCTCCATGTTTGGCCGGATGCACCACCACCTCAGGCTCGGGCAAAAACACAGTACGTTTTAAAGATTTATTTAATTCAAAGTCTAAATTACCGGTTTATTAATATATTTGAGAAGTTCCTTAAATTGTGCTCTATCTAACGACTTTGGTGAAGGGTTGTCTCCTTGCTTATTTTTATGTTATTACTCTGCCAAGAATGTTCTGTACTATGGCATTTATTAAATCGCAGATGTTTAACTGTTCAAAACTGTAACCTACAACTTTACTTATTCAGTTAAAAATTAATCTTAAAGGCCCTATATTTCACAAAATGGTGTGCGCTTCAAGGCATGTTATAATGTTACCTCATCAAAAACACACCCGGAGTTACGTTTTGTTTTGTTCAGACATGTTTGAATAATCCTTTATTATTAGTCTGTCTGCCTCTCCAAAGCTTAAAATGCTCTGCTCCACCTTGTGATGTCATGAAGCAGTAATTTTCAAGGTAACAGCTACCTTTTATCTTTAGATCAGTAGAGATTAGTAATTCCAGGGTTGATATCCTCCAAATGATTCTAGTCTAATGATTCAAGGTGTAGTAGAACAGAAGTTTAAAACACAGTGGATATCACAAAGTGGAACAGTCTGAATATGCAGGGTTTGTGTGTTAAACATGTGTGAATGAAACAAAACACTCTCTAGGTATGTTTGTGATGAAGAAACATTATAACATAGATCAGAAAATCAGAAAATAAAGTAATATACTGTAGGCCCTTTAATCTAAATTGGACATTGACCAAATTACAGTTAAGTCTTGATTCTCTGAATGTGTTATCAATAGCTATGTCCATAATGCTTTATTATGTATTTGATAACTAAATTAAGGTAAGCTCTTCACGGTATTTATCAATGTGTGCCTTAAAGATGTGTTGTATTGATAAATGGAATACCTATACTGTGTCAAATGACATTTAAGTTGAACAACAATGAGAACACGGCTCCAGGCCTCTTCTGTCCTGCTGTGCTCAACCCCCTTATATTTTATAGGGTTTTCTCGCTATTTCCTTCTATAGGTGTTTGAGAACTGCAGATGTCTTGCTGTACCAGATGCCCTCCCGGTGAACCTCACAGCCTCTCTCGGTCAGTGTCCGCGAGGAGACAGCTGTGAGCACGTTTTTCCGTACTTCCTGGCTTTGTCGGTGCTGAGCTCTTTTGTCATATCTCTCGGGGGGACGCCAGGATTCATGCTGCTCGTCAGGTTAGACAACAATCTCAAACAATAAACAAATCATAACAGCTAAGAAGAACTAAAAATGGATGTGGGAGTAATTTGAAACACAATTTGAAAAGTAGGTTATGTAAAATGTTAACAAATCAGAGTGGAGCTGTTAATTCATAGCATTAAAATGACTAACAAGTTGTTATGTTACAATAAAATAGTGTTGACATTTGGTAATCTTTTATTCATTTATTACATTCTTTGCAAATTGATCAAAAAGGAGATGTCGTGTTCAAAGGCACACAATGGAACATTTCTGCCACCTGCTTGTCTCATTAGGAACATATTTATATCCATGAGTTTCAAAAAACGCTGTTGTAGTGATTAACCATTAAAAAAATGGGAAACAGTCCTCTGAATGTGGCAATAAAAGGAAGCTAAAACTCATAAATATCAGTTCAAGTTACAGATGAGGTATGTGAAGAGCCAAACCCACGAACAACAAGAATGCAATTTCAAGGTACTTTTTATCAATAAAAAATTATAAATAATAGATAAGTTTAAAAACAAGACAAGTATGCAGAAGACCCTTTAACAACAAATTTCCATTGTCCAAATTTAAGGTTTGCATTTACTCTTTTACTCACATGTTAAATACTGGCTAGACTTTTTCAGGTTGGCATCAGTAAATTACATTGCTGACTGTATATTGTTAGTTCTGGGATATTTAAGTCTTAACCATACAAAGAGAGATACAGAAAAACGCAGTAAGATTTATAATAATGTTCCTATGTAATGTGAACCAGATTTAGACCAAGGCTGTTCCTGTTGCGTTGTCCTTTTATGGCTGTTATATGTTACATGTGTTCAGGCATAATCTATCCAACATATCTAACACATACTTCTTCTGTTTGCTCTTGTAGATGCATCAAACCTGAACTAAAATCGCTTGCACTTGGAATCCACACACTGGCCACTCGAACACTGGGTAAAACACTGACCTTATGCTTTCAATAGTTTTAAATTGTTGTGCATCTTTACTTATGCATGTTAAGTTATGTTATGTACAAGTATGTTTAGTTAATGCCATACAGGAAAAGTAATGGGTGTCATGTAGATAGTATTTTGAAGATAAGCAGAGTTATAGTTGTTGAGGGAAGTTTCAAGGTACAATTCTTGGATTTGATAATGAGTTTGAAGATTGACAGTGGAATATAGCGGTTAATGTATCTATTTTGTTGATGTTTCTGGTGTTACTGTAGGTTTATTGTTCTTGGTAGGGCTGTAGGTCCTTGTCTTAGTCGACCATAATTGTTATTGGTCTACTTTTTTAAAATTTTTTGATTATAAAGATATATATGGGACAACAGCTGAAAGGAAAAGCTTTAGAAGCAGGTAGATGACGATTTGGTTATTATCAGCCTTTGGCACATAAATGTGCATTTTTCTAGTACTTTTCAGTATAAAGAGTTGTTGTTTTCTCCTGCAAGTGTAGTCTTATGATTGCAGTTTGGCTTAGATACACAGAGTTGTATATTGAAAAGTAAAAACAATTTGAATTGCACATAAGATTATACATGAAAAAAGTGTATATTTTTTGATATTTTTCAAATTCAGGTTTTCTCAGAAAATAAAAGATGAACTTCATTGATCCCAGGGGAAATTAAAATTCAGCTGTAGAAATATTTCCACATTTCCAGTCGCTTTTATCAGCAGATTGTGTCAGGGCACTTTGAGGAGATTAATTATCTTTAGTATAGATGTATAGATTATTTTACAAACGTATGCTTTTAAAACTGAAACAGCCGGAATACCTGCTCCTATTTATTTTGGAGCCATCATTGACTCGACGTGTCTCAAATGGGGATACAAGACGTGCGGAGGGAGAGGAGCATGCCGGATTTACAACACTTCTGCGTACAGGTTAACACACATTTCCTATACATTATCTGTGCTATCCTTGGTATATAATGGATGACACTTCTTTTCAAATTGCAGGATAGTGTACCTCGGTCTGACGTTGGGCTTACGGACTGTGTCTTTCTTCTTGTGCATTTTGGGATTTGTCATTCTCAAAAGACATATTAAAATGGAAGAGAAAAGTGCACTGGCCAATGGGAACGCAGAACAGGAGACTCTTAAGAAAGACGAGAACAGCTCCGGCCAGTGTGAGCAGTTTATCTTGGCCTTGAACTGTAACTCCGACAGAGAAACGCGATTGTGACTAAATGTTGCACAAAAACCTCCTCTCAGCTACGCAAAACATCTCAAATCTGTAAAGGAACAACGCACACTTTTGCTCAAGCACAGGCTATATATTTGTACAGAGGTTTCAAATTTTCACAACCAAGATTTTTCAAAATGCGCCGCGGCAAGAATGTAATGTGTTTGTAGATTCATGTGACATGTGTTTGTACATAGTTGGTTGTTTTTACATTGATTAAATTCTTACTTAATGGTTCGACTCTTGTGAATTTGTGTGAATGGGAAAAACACAAGAAAAATAAAGGGACTAGAGAAGGAGAAGAACAATAATCTTAAGGGTACATCCCTGGTCTAGTTTTATAATTCTTATTCTATTCTTTTTTATATTCTTTATTCTAATAATCCCATGAATCATTTATAATTCTCCTTTTTTGTTCTCCTTAATGTGCATATGACAGGTTAGATTACTAATTTCACTACAACAAATTTACATTATTATTTTCAAGATTTTACTAAAAGTCACTAGTTTGTTTTTCTATTTCTTTGCAATAATTAATAATTAATTCCTGGCTGGACACAGGCAGCAGATATGACATGTAGATACAATTTTATAACAGTTACCTAGCAACCATGAGGCTAACAGGGTCCAAAACTAGTTGGATAAGACTAATAAATTATATATTTATTTTGTTAAATAAAGGTATAAACTGCCAGAAAATGTTGTATGTAAATCGACCTTGTAATTTGGATCAAATTTTTGGAAAGACATAAGTACAGGTATTCAATTTTAAAACTTTATGTATTTTTGAAATTTATTCCCCCGCAAACTTGCCTTGCCACTTGACTGATGATAAAACTATGATAAAAATGTAACCAGTTACAAACCCACAAAACCAAGAAAAACATGAAAAACTGCCATATGCACTTAAAATAGATATTTAGGATCACAAGTTAGAGTGAAGGGTTCTTTAGGTCCATGAAAGTTTTTGTATTCATGAGCATTTCAATCAATATGGATAATTTAAACACAAGGAAAATACATAGTTATTTATTCATGGTAAAATGCTATAGTGATACACCATATTGAACATCATATTATATTTCACCACCGCATTTTAAACACTTCTGATAGACAATTTTGAAAATCTTGCTAAAATAATACAATAAAATTAAGAAAACAAAATAATCCTAAATTACTGGTCCTTTTTGTCTGAGGCACTTGGTTGATTCTGTGGAGGAAACACAAATATATCACAACCTTTCTGTCAGGCAGGGGCAGCGGTTGTGTTTATTTTTACCTGGAGCTGATGATGCTCACTCAGAAGTCTGTCGTACTCCTGAGCCAGACCTTTGGCCTGCTTCTTCATGGCCTCCACCTCCGCCTGGGCCCTGTGCACAGCTGCATGCAACACAAGAGAACAGGGCTTTCTTGTGCACTATATAATATGCCTGGGAGACTGTAGGCTGCCCAGAGGAATACCATATGTTGAAGGGTATCCTATTGCAATCCCAAAGTACAAGAGATATATTGCGGTCAAAAATTCACAATAACAACCTTCAAAAGTAGTTCTCACCTGACTCAGAAGTCTTTAGCTGACTTTCAAGCTTCTGAATTTCCAACTTAAGCTGCTGATTTTTGGCGACCACCGTTTTTTCCTCATCAAGCAGTGCCTGGGGACCATAGGAATCAGAGTAATATTATACGATTTTTAACAGTATATTCCACATAAGATTCTGAAATAAAACTAGAGATGGACTTTTTAAGCAGATTCCAATACCTGACATTTGACTTGCTGCCATTGTGACCGATAATCAATATTAGATTTTAAAATCCATAGCAAGCAAGGCTCACCAAAGTGTATTAGTTATAGTAAAATTCACAAATTAACTTTTCACTTTTGTAAGAATAAAAACTAAAGGTATATAACTGGGACTAATTTGGGACTAGTTTTAGTCTGATTGATCTTCTATTAAAATTTTTCTCACTGGTCTGTCAAATGAAGACAAGGTGTGGAATGACACATGTACACAGAAACCAAACAGAAACTAAATTTACAATATTGGACCAATATTCATATCTATCATATCATATTTTTTAGATTTTTTAAGCAATTAATGGATGAAATAGATAAATTTAGCAGATTTTAATTGATTCAATTGATTTCTTAATTTTTCTAGCAGCTTTTGTGTATTTGGTTTGTTGGGATGCTAACTCACAATAAATGTGCTAAAAAAGTAAAGTTTCCGCCATTTCAACAGGTCTCAAAGCATAAAGAAAAGTACTTTTTAATTTTCAGTCCAGATCTAAAATGTAGGCACGTAGAAAGTATAGATCCACATTCTCAAATGTGCTGAAGTAAAAGTAAAAAATACCCACTGTAAAATTGACTTAGGTAAAGGGCAGATATCAAAAATTGTTGGTACTTAAGTATTATACTTTTACTTTTGTACTTCGTTACCTTCTACCACTGCCCACCCCTAAATTAAACATATTTGGGTTGTTACACATAAATACACTCCTCACTTGTCGAAGCCTCTTGTTGTCCTCTTCATGCTGTTTCACTGCATTTGCCATATTGTCCATTTGAGCTTGGAGGGCAGCACTGCTCTCTGCACTGACCGCAACTTGGTTCAACAAGGTCACAACTCGACGCATTATTCTGGGATATGCATTTCAGAAAGAGGAAACAAGAATAAGATTAAGTACAAATCAGTATGTGTCAGCACTCTAAATGATAAATATAGGCAAATCAATAACACAAACAGCCAGAGGAAGATAGAGAAGCCAGAGATGTAGAGGTTTCTTTGGGCTCGGAACAGCTTCATATGAATGTGGTCATACACGTTGGGATTGACCTTGGCGTCCTGCATAGGATCTGGGCCAGAGTATTTCTGCACTTCACGGATTGCGTCTAAAGACAAATAATGTGCTTAAAGGTCCTATATTACACAAAATGGATTCTTGTGAGCTTTAAGCCATGTTAGAATGCTGTTATCTCCTCAAAAACAGACCTGGAGTTATGCTTTGTTTCATTCACACATGTTTAAGTTTATTATTGTCTAATTAATTTAATGAAGCTGTAGTTTTTAATTTAACAGCTATTGTTTACCATTTGTTCAGTCAATATTGGCAATTCCAGGGCTGAAATTATGTAAATGATTCTAGTGAAGGTGTGCAAAGTTTAAAAACACAGTGGAGCACTTCCTGTATATATATATAAAAATATGCAGTTTGTGTGTTAATGAAAACAGCATAACTCCAGGTATGTTTTGGTGAGGAAACGTCATTATAGCATAGATCAGAAAATAGCGTAATGTGGCCCTTTAAATCTTGGGAAAATGTTACACCACTTTTGAACTGCAGCAGATGAGATTATGTGCGACTTACCCAGAAACAGAACAATAAGGACCATGATCATAGTAAAGAAGCATTTGTTCCAATAAGGGCTGAGCCAGTTCCAGATTCCCCAGCTGAACACCCGCCTCCACCTGAAAGTAGGTTAAAAGGGCACCTTAATTCACAGTTCATCTTACCATTTAACAGCACTGCATCTGCTAAAGGATAAGATGAGGGCGCCATCTCCTGGACATAAAAATTTAACTAAATCAAAATATTATGACGTTATTTTTTGGCACAAATATTAAATGTTGTTAGTGTGAAATTAAAAGTATCCTAAAAAGAGGAAAATACACAAAAAGCAACTCTGAAATATAATAGACTACAAAATAACACAAATGCACAATCTGCTTTGACTAGTTTATGGTAGAAACAGAAAATATATACATATTACAGTGTTTTATTTGGTTTTACCTTTTAGCTGATATGAATGGTATGCATAATATGACGTTCACCACGATTTCTGCGTAGAGAAAAAATGCCACTGCGGTCCACTGTAGAGTCATATTGTTGTTGCAATTATGTAGTATCTGTAGAATAGAAAATGAAGTTTCAGTTAACTTTGCAGTACAGAAGTAGATGATGTAGGTTAATGTAGGTTTAAAACAACAGCTACTTGGCCTACTACAATACTATTAATGTATTGCAGTCCTTAAAACAAAGTAAACAGTGTGTATTAAGAGATTCTTGGAGATGGATTCTTACAAACTGATTTAAAGTAGACAACAAGAAAGAAACAACACTCAAGACAGAGCACCTATAGTATCCAACCTTCCACTGCAAGATTGCAAAATAAAATACAGGCTACAAAGTACAGACACATTAATAAGAATAAAACGCAATCACGTGGGCTACAAATGCGACTCTACATGTAGTTGTTAGCTTACCTGCTAGTTCAGAAGAGTAGTGTTGGGAAGTCCACACAAGTGCGCGCTGCTGAACAGCTGCGGTGCGCGCCTGCAGCCAGAAATAAAACGCCATCTGACTCCTCTGGTAAGTCCCCATGGTAAAATTACATGGATAAAATAAAAATCAATTTTAATATGAACCCACAAAAATTAAAACACACGCTTACCTTAGTGCAAATACTAGCTAAACCAGGTGTCATGTTTTCGAATGAGTGATGTTTTGCATTGATTTATAGGCCTCTGTTAAAACAACTGAAACATTTGAACAATTTAACGCGAATTAAGGCTCAGGGCCTGTTTTGAAAAGCTGTGGTATTTTAATGTAGGTGATAATTGTTGTGGCAAATGGAGATCATTTGTAGATAGGCCACTAGAGGGCGATAGGTTCTCATTTTAAATTAGACCTAACGATAACTTAAGCAACTTTCCTTTCAATTAGAAGCGCCTCACTTGCACTGTATATAGTGTATATAATAGTGGCACCTTTTAGAGGACGATGAGTACCCCATTGCAAAGTACTCTAATGTGTCTGTTTTGTAGTCTGTTACATATGACAATGTTAAAGGTGCACTATGCAGCCTTTCTGGTGGAGAGGTCCCCCCCTTTTGCCGTCATGCCTTCAACTTTTCTGTTGAGGAGAAAGCCATCCACATTCATGGAGTTGTTACTGCTTTGCCTAAAATGTACAGTGGGGCATTAAACTTATCTAAAACCTGTAACTGCTGCTTGTACTTGTCTGTCTCCATGGTGTTAGATATGTTTAATGCCATACTGAGGAATATTCCTGGCTATAATGCAAGTTGATGATGATGCAAGCAGGTGGCGGACCCTCCATGACAAAAGTTACATAGTGCACCTTCAGAAGCTAAAAATCTAAAATCTATTGTTTAACTATGACTATGTTGGATATTGAGAAGGGGGCTCCTCCTACAGTCTTGAATAATGCGCATATGGCTTTGTTTGCAGTGGACTTTAGCTTTATTACTGAAATGCACAAATCTGCGTTTATTTTGAGTAATGCAATGACAACAAATAGCTTGGATGAGGGGGTTGCCCATGAAGCTGGATATAAATAGATCTGTTGCCTTTATTTGTAATAGCACACAGAAGCACGTGTCACCTTGTTGCTGGTCCTCTCCTATTTCAGTCTCCAAGTTACATCTGAATTTCAAACCCCGTTACTTTAGTGGATTCTGCCCCTCGTCGCATTCAGCCCATTCATCTTGACTTCCTCTGAAAAAAAAGAACCTGATATCTGCCTGCGCTTTTCACAGCATGTCTCAGGAGTGTCAGGGAGGGGAATGTTTACAGCTGCAGTCAGTGTGATAGCTTTTGGAGAGAGGGAAGAGGAGATGACGGACGAGGAGTGAATGCGCTTTGATTGCTCCGCTCCTCGACGCCATCCGCCACTGAGGTCACGGCTCGGGGGACCGGCCGGGACAGTCATTACAGCGAAATGCCCGCAATAAGCAGATGGTCAGGCCGGGGTGGTTGTAAGCCAGGCCCTGTGCGCTAACCTGAGAGGGCTTGTTCATTTTTCATGCTCATGCTGTCACAGGACTACTACACTCACTGCCATAAGCACTGACCCGTAAGACATTAGAATATATAGTATCATATGAGGAGATATAGATGGTTCTAAGTCTTCAGTTTTTTTGTTTTTTTATGTGCCTGATGTGATTTAAAGATATGTAAAAATAATGGGAATTCATTTGGGTCCTATGCTACACAAAACTGACTCTTGTGAGCTTTACGCCATGTAAAGCTCACAAGCTCCTCAAAAACATACTTGGAGTTGTGCTTTGTTTCATTCACACATGTTTGAGTATTGAATGTGTTTATTATTAGTCTGTCTCAAAATGCTCTGTTCCACCCTGTGATGTCATAGTTAAGGACAAGTTAACAGCTCCCCGTTCAATGGACATCGTCAATTTCAGGGCCGAAATGATCCAAATATCCATATGATTCTAGTCAAGGTGTATGGAGTTTAAAAACACAATGGAGCACTTCCTGTTTACCAGGTGTTATCATATCATGGTGGGTGAGTGTTTTCAGTTTAAGAAAATAACTCAGTCTAAATATGTAGGATGTGTGTGTTAAATTTGTGTGAATGAAACAAAAAACATCTGTAGGTATTTTTGTGATGAGGAAACAACATTATAACATAGATCTGAAAAATATGGGCCCTTCGAGCAGGTGATATTGACAATACTTAATATCTCAATAATGTTGTATTGGATTATTGCAAATCCATCAGCCTACCCTAAACTCTGTTGTACGTTAGGGATGGGACAAGATCTTGTGCCACAAGATTGTGCACACATGAAAAAAAATTATCTTGTGAGGGGTGTTTACTTTAGGATAAGATAACATGATGGGTTGGTGAGTTACATCTCTTACAGTTCCAAAAATCAGTACTGTACTTTAAATATGAATGAAAATGATGAAATAAAATAAATTTAAAAAAATGTGAGACCAAAAATGGAAACTGATTTGCGAAATGTCTATATTAGAAATTATATTAAAATCTCATCTTGTCTCATGGACCCAGTCTCGTGTCTCGTCTCATCCTGTGGAAATTGTGTCATGTTCCATTCCCTACTGTACATTTTTGTATTTTATGCTGTATTTGTACTGCAATCTTGCTGCAGTCTCCACTCTCCACACTTGAGAGGTGCTAAACTGAAAACAGAAGAGGAGGCAACACTGTGAGTTTGAAGTCACTGTGGGACTTGTTAAAATAAAAAATCCATTCATTTGACTGGACTCTCCCACTCAGGTTAATCTTTAGCAGTTGTTTACTTAATATGAATCAAAGCAGTTGGTTTATTCTACTGTGGACCCGTTCTTTTTGTGTGTCTGTTTTTTCTCTCTTCGCTAGTTCTCTGGTCACTGGTTATTGCCATGTAATTGCAATTTGTAATATTGTACTAGTATGTGATTTTCATTCTGTTTTGTAGTTAAGACAGATTTTTGTGTTAAAAATATTACTTTAAGCATTTCATTTAAAGGTGCATTGTTTCACAGTTTAGTTTTAAATCTTGCTATCTTAATGGAGACCAAATGAGACCAAGTTACAGGCCAGATCACAGTCAGAATGCCTGTTTTTTTTGGGTATTTTTAACCCACCTGTAATTAAATACATTTAAGGTAGATCTGTTTAATGTCACACTGTGGAACATTCCAGGCAGAGCAATGACCTATCAGTAGAAACAAACAGGTGACGGACTCCCAACCAAAAAGTTACATTCTGCACCTTTAAGGATTCAGAGGATACTTTACAATGGACATAAAATATTCCCGTAACGTTAATGTTAATTGAAATATGAGCTGCTAAATTATTAGATGCATTTTAGAACATGCTTGTAAGTACCAAACAAAAACAAAACTGGTCAGCAGATTTCACAAGAATTCTACATTGGGATATTGTTGTTTAAAGGACATAATATTGCCTTAAAAACTGCAGCTTTTGTGATTCTAGTGACCATTCTGTGTTTGATTTGATTTCTATTAATGTTCTCACCCTATAGGCGTATTATGAGATGGTATATTCTGGCTCAAGTCCCTATCCTCTCCGTTAGAAACCAGGCGGACTTGGACATCTGTGACTGTGACTCACCACCATCAGTGTTTAACATGAGGCCAGACCAGGACACCACATACTATTCTACTCAGTTTGTTGTTCATTAGATCCAATACATACTACTGGAGCACTGTCAGACAGATACCCCCCTTTCCCTCTCGCTCTCTCAGTGTAGCGGAATAATCAGAGCTAGAGGGCACCAGTCTCTACACACGCACGCACGCACACACACACACACACACACACACACACACACACACACACTCATATACTGTCCCATAAAACAATTGGGCTGACACTTGGCTCTGTAGACACATGCTGTTTGTATCCACACGGAGACGGGCAGGTGCACATAAATACGCAATAAGCAAAGTCTGGGCAAACTGCCACGCAACCACATCTCTTTCACTATTGCTCATTTTTGGTTTAGTGGGTAATACGCTTGATTCTTTTGTGGGAGCCAAATCTTCAAATGAACTGCATTTCTTGTTAGGTGTAAAATTGTACTACTACCGATGAGTGTGTAACCTTGGCTAATGTGATTTTTTTTTTTCATCAAAAGATTGTGCTTTTGATAAATTCACAGTGCTTCTAGAGTACTGAGCAAATGTCAGTTTTTAAAGGTGCGCTATGCAACATTTCTGAGGTCTCTACCAGCCTCTCCATGGAAAATCATATTGCCTGGAATGTATGGCTTTTAACATGTCTCTTTTGCAGTTATTCAATTAGAGGTGAGTAGGGTCACCTCTCCACAGATCTTACCTGTATCTGTTTTGTGCCACTGGATTGTCTCCACTGAGATACATCACACACTGAAACATTCCAGGCAGTGTAATCCTCTACCAAAGAAGTTGTGCCCTCTTAAGAAACAATGTAATAGGCTGACATTTATCAATTCACAAAACTGTGCCAAGTGACAAAATGAAGCCATATCTTTAGAGCATAGGCCATTGTCAAGGGTAAGGTATCACAGTATTTACTATTGAACGTCTATATACCATTCAGTAGTAAATACTGTGATACCTACTT